CGGCATATGTCCGTGTGACAACCATCGCGGTCGATAGCCTTTACACCTGCTGCTCTTGCGGTGGTTCTTGCCATATCACTTCCAGAACACCCATTGTCCGAGGGAAATAGGCTGTTGTAAAACGATTATAGTGTAGTGTCTTTAGCCAGAGGTAGTGGCAGCTTGGTCTGACGTTGGCGCTTAGTCTGCGGTACCAGCCATGACTTCCACTTCGGTCGAGGGACGGGGTGGTGCTGCTGAACGAATTTTGAGGGGAGACTGCTGTAGGTAGTTCTGACCACTGTTCAACGACGGAGACGTTCCTTTAGTCGAATATTAGGTCCCTCTATGCAATAGCCAGCCCCCTTTGCAAGGTGAGAGCGCCATGGAAAATCTTCTTCCAAAGTTTTCATGGCGGGGAGAGAAGAAGCGGGCTGCTCATCGCGCAAGAACTCCCATTGCAATGGGTCCTCGATGTCGAACAGTTCTGGCTGTGCAGCGAACAAACCTTACTCGAACCTCTGGCGCTCACCCGTTCTGGCCGCGTCTTCGAATGCTACCGTTGGTGATACAGGTGATACTGGTGCGGTGGTCGGCAGCTCCGTCGTTGCGTTGGCAACTCCAGTCGGCCAGCGGGTCGGCGGTCACGGAAGCGTAAGTATTCTTCGGCACCCATCGCCCCGTTCGCGAATATACTCTCAATTATTCATAGTGATTTTTATGCCGTCCCGGTTAATCCGCGCATAGAAATCACTCGCAGCTTCTGGCTAGAGGTAAAAACACCTGACGATCCGCAGCATAGTAGGCGGGCATAGAAACCGTACTCCTCACTCTCACGGCTAATGACGTGGGATATCTTCTTTGTGCGGGTTTTCCTCGTCGTTAGAGAACTCCTGCTTGATGTATATTCGAGGAGTGGCCTTTTAAGCAACGGCAGTTGGGGCTGAGAAATTTTGGATGGGCGGAAGCGTAGACTGCGACGACGGATGGGGGTTGCAGTGGACGACCTAGGGGTAGGTGCCTGACCGCGAACCCGATGTTCCAGAAATTGCCATGTCGCAAGTCGTGGGGAGTGTCGCCTTGGTGGTCTTCCGGCGGCGAGTGAAGATATCCAGATAATCCATCGGAGCTAAGCATCTTTGTTGTTCATTGTAGAGAACGGGTACAACTCTGATAGATGTAAACAGTCTAGAGGTAAGCTTCAGTTATAACCGTACGTCAGAATAGTTCGTGCGGTTTGCTTACTACGAAAAACGTGGCAGTATCGGACTGAGACGATCGCAATGATATAAAAAGCTAGGTTCGTGGGTTCCTTACTTGGCTATCAAACCTTTCAGCAGCGGTAGAGAGCTTCAGGGCGGAGAAATTGACATAGAATTTTCCCTAGAGGGTATGCAGACCATAGTTTTCTGACATCTGGTATCGCTGATCTAGTTGGAAGCCCCAGCCGTGTTGCCGGGGGCTGGCGTCTTTGACCCACTTGAATTGTTCCCAAATTCCTAAGGTCCTGGAAAGAATCTTCTTGTACCTCACAGGGAAAGGGGTTAATGGCACTGGCATTTCATCAATATTCTTATCAATGGAAGTTCAAATAAGGTTGGATCGGCGACTTACAACCGGAGGAATGGGCCAAGGCTAGGATCATCAACACCAACCTAAACGCCAAGCCTTGCCCCTGAAGCGGGTAAACAAAGCACGGAATGTTCTCAGTCTAATACCAACGAGGATATTCGATCTGTTTCGGATGATTTAGTCAGCAAATGGGTTGAGAAACACAGATATTACCCAATGAAACCAAGTAAGAGAACCAAAATGCTGATGGGCACAAAGTCAAAATGGAGGAGGCTGGGCAAGGCAATGGACAACATTAGGGGTCACGCCACCCGACCTTGATGGATCAAGGCTTGTATGGACCACGACCCACAACGGCAATAAGCAAGGCGACGTCAGAATAAGCTTTTTTGAACCTGCTTCTAACTCCCAACATCCCAGCCCCGGCCCCACCATCCCTGAGGAGTACCGTACCTCCTTAATACATAAACGCAACGCAGAATGATTCAAGTAAAACTATTAACGGACTAGCCGACCAAGACAACGCCGAGCTCTAAGAGGTTAAAGGCAATACAATGCAGTTAAGATACTGAGATAATGAATAATGAAATACAAGGAGCGTCGTCTCCCATAAGGTCGTACGGGAAGTGAAGCCGATCACACGTCGTTGGGCGTGACGACCGACATATCGGTAGCGCGTGGGGTGTGCGTCAGGGGGCCGGTATAGTAGTGGCGTCCGTGGGTGTACCAGAAACCGAGGGAGAAGAAAAGAACGAAGAAGAAAACAACAATGGCGTAGTTCATCTGGAGAATATGTTAGCATTGCGTATCCTTGGTAGGTGTAGCCGACACTGAGGAAGGCGAAGGTACCCACATTCTCAGGTGTAACAGGTACCTGCGTCGGGAAGAAGAAAATCACGGCCATGAATGTGTTCCAGGCAACCGCTACTGCATTGACCCAGATGCTGTATTTGCCCATATGCCAGGGCCCCTTCTGCATGCGCCCATAGACCATCTTGCAAATAATGGGTATGACATAGGACACGTTCAATGCTACCGTACAGACATTGAAGACGGCGCCAATGGCAGTACCGCTTGCCAAGCCGAGCAGATTGATAATGATTTCGAGAACAGCATACATCCAGACGGCAATGAGAGGAGTCTGTGAGCGTTTTGAGATGCGGGCCCAGATATGGGAAAACGGAAGAAGATTGTCGCGGGAGAGGGCAAAAATGGTCCGACTGCCGGCCTGTATGCCGGGAATCGCAACCAGGTTCATGACTCCGAAGCCGCAGAGTGTGAAGAAGACTGCGGGAACACGGCCCATGACGTTGAAAAAGAGTTGTGCAACCTGGATGTCGACGACGTTAGTCTTGAATAGGCGCGGAAATAGAACCTCGGCTTGGTAAATCTTACTGGTTGGCCACTAGGGCTATTTACCAGGTCCTTGGGGTTGTCCATGCAGGCAACCAAGACCCAGTTGAAAAGAAATCCAATGACATAAGTGAACGTTGTCGCATTGGCAATGGCCCTAGGTACAACCATTTGAGGGTTCTTTGCTTCTTCAGCAATGCTATCCCCGAGTCAGCATCATGCCTAGTTTATCATCTAAGGGTCAAGCCACAAACTTACCGAGCTGTACCATCACAACTAGTCATGATCCAGGCTGGCGTAAGGCACCCAAACAGAAAGGCAAAGCCAGGAGGGCTCCATCCCGATGAAGGCTCGAAATCAGTAAAGGTGTATCTGAGGCCCTTGAGATCGTCCCGATTCTGGACCAACAAGGTCACACAAGCACCGAGTAGGACACTCATGTGGAAGACAACATAGCCGCTTGTCAACCGGTTCAACCACGCTGTCGGTAGAGTGTTGATCATGGCATGAATAATCGTAAGCCCTACCATGACACCAACGACATGGCTTGGTGTTGGCACGTAGCTGAAGTTGGACGTGATCGAAACAGCTGCAAGAAGCATTTGACTCGCGGCGTACTCGGTAGAGGCACTACCAGCAACGGTACCCACAAGATTGAGATAACCTTTGTTATACTGGTTAGCGGCACCTTGGAGCAAAGGTATCGGAGAGCTTACCGGCAATCCAACATAAGAAGGGAACTTGTTCTTCGGGAGCAAGAAACTTCAAGGTGAAGTACATGGCGCCGGAACTGGGGTAGGCAGATGCGATCTCAGCGATACTGTATGCAAGTGCCCATGCGCCAGCGCCGCCAATGATCCAACTCCACATGATAGCAGCCGCGCCGCCGGCTTGTAGGCCATATATCCATGTTGACATTAATGTGCCGTATATTCCAGATATGCTCATAGCAAAGCTGAAGCTCGACCATTGTGAGAACTCCCGCTTGAATACCTACTGTATGTTAATCGAAGGCCACGGTCATTGGAAGGGAAAGGGGCTCTGGTTTCGAAACTCACTGGTGTATAGCCCAAAGCCTCCAGCGCCTTATCGCCATTTTCGGTAGAGCTTGTTGAAGGTGTTGGGGGCCCAGCTTCCCCTAAAGATGGAGTGCTTTGTCTGGTCATTTCAGTCATTTCGATGGTGGCATCTGCCAATTTCTCTGCCGGGGAGAAAGACATGGTGGCACAAATGGTGCTGGTGGGCTTTATGTTAAGGGAGCTGTTACGGAGTCTTCACCGTGATCGATGACAGACGGGGGCCAGATTTTCTCCTTTTGCGAAGTGTTGTGTTCCATAGACAAACAATGGCGACGGGATGGTCGTGATTTTGTATGGACGACACCGACTAACGCGGTTCTGACCGCCAAATCTAACACGAGCTGCTCCCTCGAGATATTGGACACTTTAACGTCCGTTCTCGGGTCAACTACCCCGCACAGGTTGAGTACCTGATGTTCGAAGCATAGTAAGAAGACCAGGATACAAATCGTGGGGCTGATTCTCCCAGACATGCACTTTGTTACATGCCCGTGCGCGCCTGGGAATCTGTATATGGAGGTCCTGTACCGACGGGCCCAATCTCGCTGCGGTGGCCGGTTCGTCTGGAGTTCTTAGTGTAAGGCTAGACCCATTCCACGGTTCGTCCCACGGTGTCGTCCAAGCTAAGGAGTCGAGACCCAGAAGTCGTAATGGTCGGGTCTTTGGTGCTGGAACCTCTCCAAGTCTGATACTAGATCGGTCAACGAGGTGGACACCGCTTTGGTCTTGGCCAGTCCGTAACGGTGGGTTTCGAGAGCCGTTAGTGTCTTCTTCAGGACTTTCTCTTCGCTTTTCTGGACTCCTGATTTGGTAGTGTTGTAGTTAAAGCCAGCCGTCCGATTGCTGATGCCTCCGGATGGAGGTTAGAGAGTCGCGTCCTGCCCATAGTAAGATCTGCTTGTTCGTCTTTTGAGAAATTTCGAGACTGTCGGATTGGATCGGTTCAACGTGGTTTGTGCACTTCGTCCCTCGCCTTCCCTCTATGTATTGCGTTGTTTGCAAACTCCCCGACCTGGTGACTGCTGCGGAAGAATGGCGCACAATGTTGCAAGACCGGTAGAATGTTGATTTGGCGGTTCTCGTAGCTTGTTGTGTGTCAAGGGCCCCACGAGGTACACCGAGAGGGTGTGTTATCGCGCGAGCAATTGTTCGGTTTGACTAGTAGCAGGTGTTCAACATTAGCTAAAGATTGCCAACACATCTAGAACTATCGTGACCAATGAACATCGATGCGCAACCGGTCACGCTCGTCAACTACCAAGACGACTGGCCACTCTTAAAGTGGTCCAGACTCGGATACAGGCAGTGTATACATCGGTCATGCTTCAAACTAGCTATTAAGGGTTCGAACGAATTTTCTGCTTACATGCTTGGACATACAGCTCATGTAGATCGTGCACTGGCCGGAGAGGTGTTCGGGTCTGAGCCGAATGGTAACAGAGTTTTGGAATGGTCAAGTGACGGGTGCGGATTGAAGTTTCGAATGCCGAACAAGACGTGCTGTCGAGTCGGGAGATGCAAGCCCGCGGAGACCAGATATCGAGGATGAGGATACAGTGGCGTGATATAAAGCTATTGAAGTAATTCATAAAAGCGAGCGTATCAACGAAAGAAGAGACCGACTCTTGGGTAACTATTATGCTGCTTGAAAATGCTCTTCTCGTTATCGATGATTGCTGGCAAAAGTGTCCATGGCCAGCACTCTGGATGTTTCACTCTGTGGGCTACGCACTCCCGTCTAAATCGCTGCTGGACTCCGTTTGCATGATGCGATTTGCCGCATGGATTGCCCAACGGTTTTTGAGCAGCCGCGTTCGAACAGTCGCGCCTACCCGAAGCGAAAGCTGAGTTCCTCCAACAGCAGTAACTTGTTGAAGGACGGAGCTCTTGTTGGAAAGAGCCTTGGAAGTTAGGGTTAGGGTTATCCAATCCCAACTTCCACTTGCGATTCCTTCAAGTCCGCTAACGGGCCAGCAGCTCATGTCTCAAGTCACATGAACTATTCATTCGAGAATTACTCTCAAGTTTGCCGGTATGTTAAACACCAGCGAATATCAGTGTTGGGCTTAAAATCAATGTCACCACAGAGCAGCACGGGCTCGGTAGGTTCCTGCCGGTGGCCTTGACCCACTTTATCGGCAGGTGGGGCTCTGCTCCCGCCCGGGCTCGACCGGGTCAGGCGGTCCGGACACTCTATGGGTGTGGTTTGGTGTATGAGTGCCCGGATTCTTTTTTCACACCATGTGCGGGTTAATCCGTTGGACATTCACGGGAAGCCATTGGCAGTCGGTCACTCCTGGCGGTTCACGTTTCACAGGGCCTGGATATACAAGCGTGGTCAGCAGAAAAGCGTTTAAGGGACTGCAATGCCTGAGAGGCTATGTTCGGCGAAGAAACAAAATGTTATCATGATATGTTTTTGGTAGATCAAGCTTTTGAAGCCCTTGATGTTCCCCGACGGGGGTCATGTTGGACGATCTTGCCAACAAGTCCCACCAGGGGCAGCTTCCTGTGGCCGCCAGAGGGCATTTGTCCTTCTTGGGAAACTCCATCTTGCCAATTTGGCAACTGCCGTGAACGTTATCATATGACAGGCATGAGTGGTAGCTTCCTCTTGTCAACCACGGAATGCAATGGGAATTGGGAAAGTGCCTTGGTTGAAAATGGAACCATCGACTTCGTTGCAATCACTTTCGGGAAGGGGGAGATCAGGAACGGCCAGAACAGGAATAGCGTGCATAGGGCCCCACCTCATCTACGTCATCGAAGCAAAGGCCCTTTCCGGAATTACCATTACAGTCAGCCTGGGCAGCGATTGCCATTGGGCAATTTCATCGACTCTGACAGGCATGGGAAAGTGTCATCCGTTCAGTCAGGGATGGAAAGACAAGTCAGTTGGAGACTGGCAAACGGCAGTGCAAGAGTCAGAGACAGGGACACAGGGCAGACAGCCAGACACAAGACGGACGGCTCTCGGGACATTGATCGACCGTGCAGCAATGACGTAGAATGGCGGGGCAGCTTTTGTCTTTGAAGCTTGCAACAAGCTCCCAGCAAGCTCTCCCCCTGCCGTTGGCTGCCAACCAACATCATCATTGCAACCGCAACGCAATGCACGGTGGGGTCTTTCAAACGGGTCGTACAGACATATAAGGATCGCATCGGTCACACTCGAGATCTTTTTGTAGAACATCATCACACTTCCAATCCATTCAAGCCACTCTACTACTGCTACTACTACAACCAAAGAGAACCATCGCTTCTCTCTCCACGACCAACAACAAACCCCACACCCACAAACCACCAATCCCATCCAAAACCGTCAAAATGACCACCAACCCTAACGAGCCCGGTGCCCCCCTCTACTCCCAGGCCGTCTCCCAAGACGCCGGCGAGCCTGTCACTGCCGATGAGATCGAGAAGGCCCCCAAGACCCTCGGCTCCCTCGAGAAGGAGAAGAACGAGAAGAAGGACACCCAGACCGAGAGCAGCAAGGACGAGAGCAAGAAGGACACCTCCTCCTCCAATGACCAGTCCTCTGAGCAAAAAGAAAAGCCCTCTGGCCTCCTCTCGAGCGCCACCAGCACCGTCACCGGCGCCGTCGGCAGCGTAGCCAGCGGCGTCACCAACACTGTCGGCAACACCACCTCTTCGGTCGCCAACACGGTCGGCGGCGTTGTCGGCGCTGCTTCTCGCGGCATTGGCGAGACCATCACCAGCGTCACGGGCGGCCTCGGCAAGCCTGTTGGCGAGACCATTGCCAGCGTCGGCACCAGCTTCGAGGGCGCTGTCAGGGGCAACAGCGAGGAGAAGGACGACAAGGAGACTAGCTCGGACAACAAGAAGGAGGAGAAGAAGTAAAGGATACCCACCCAGCATTTGTTACAAAGGAGTTTTTTTCGTTGTTTTCGGGATGCATACATTTGGGAGTTTTTCTTCACGAGCCGGATCAGTACAGTACGGGAATAGCATATTCAGTCTGTTGAGGAAGATTCATGCATTTGGGTTTTATAGGTCTCCCATATAGGAGACTTGTGTGTATGTTGATGAGATGCAATAACACGATACCCCCATTCAAACACCTGATTTCCGTTCCATTTTGTTGCTTCTGTGCGTGATCTGCTGTTTCTGCTAAATTGTTCGTGGTTTTATTTGTTGGAATTATCACCAGAGTCAGGTCTGTTGAGAAGAGAAGATGCGTAGCATAACTGACTCCCGGAGATACCGGACCTCAAATGAGTTTGAACATGTCATTCAAGGAGCATTGAGAACTGTCTGTGTTCACTCACACCGTCACACACGAAGATAGGAGTCTCCATATGATTCATTTGACTTCACAACAAAGTGATGAAGTTTGACATTTTGGAGACGATATTCACGAGATATTTCTAGACTGCTCTCTGGGTTCCGTTACTCCTCTTCCGTTACCACTACAGAACAAAGCACATTGCCCGGGGCCAGTGGATGGTAATCTCCGTCTTTTCCTTTTTCTCCTTCTTTTCCTTTTTCTCCTTCTTCTCCTTCCGTAGGCGGCGCATCCTCTGCTCTTCCGTCTCATTTGGATTGGGTGCGGACTCTACTGGAGGCAATGCGTCGGCTTTCACCTTTCTTGGGCGCTGCACTCTCCAAGAGCGCCACAACCCTGGAGCTGGATGGTGGCTCCGCCTTCGCTTGGTAAAGGACGATACAGTTTGACTGCTTTCTCGAATGAAGTCGCAAGTGGTAGTGGCCGCCTCGCGGTTGCTGCGACCTCTCCTTCTTTTGCTTCTTGCGCTCGGCCTTCTCCTCGGCGGTCTCGCCGTCTTGATTCATGCGCTTCTTGCTGTCGCCAACTTTCTTAATCGTTGACGAACTAGGGCAACAATTAATTCATGTCTCAAACAGGAATAGCGAGGAGAATGGACAGGTACTAACCGATCAAACCCCCAATTTGATGTTGAAGCCATTGGGTCCAATAAACCGGCGGAAGATGACTTCGATCCTTGACCTTCGCGGAAAGCTTCTTGGCCGCGGAAAACATGTTGGTACGTCACCAAGGAGCACGCAACCACTGTAGTGGAACAGGGTATAGAGGGAGTGCTCGGGGTAGCGTCTCCAATGGTGGCGTGTGCCTGGATGGGGTGGAGGCAGTGGTGATGCTTGTTTTCCTTTGGCCGATGACGAGACGGAGGTTGTTATGTCCCGCCATCGGCCAGGCGGTATCGAAGAAACCAGAGATTTGACCACTGTGTTTCACAAATGGTCAGCGGCCAGATACATCGGCAAGAGAGTAACGGGGGATTGGGAGCGGAATTTTACCTGACGTGGCCAGACTGTCGTCGTCGACAAGGATGACAGGGGCCTTCTTCCTCTTGGGCCAAGCAAACTTGACCTTCCTCTTAGCCTTGAAGGGCAAGCGCCTGGTGGTGGTGCCACGGGTGGTGGACTTCTTCTTCTGCCTCTTCTGGTCCTCGGCGGACATTTCTTGGTCCTACTGGCCCGGGCCACATTACTAGTAAAGGGCAGGTCAGTCAAATGCACCTCGCTTCGTTGCCACGATCGTAGAGTCAGGGAAGCTCGAGTGTCCACTTGGGGTTTGTGGCTCGGCTTGCTAGGCCCAAGCCGCCTAAGCTGATGGTGAAGGGCGATTGCAAGCACGCAGACAACCAGTGAAGTAGGAAAAGACACGCGTCAGTGAAGTTGTTAGAGCTCATACCTCAAACAAAAGTTCCATCAGCAATGGTTAACTGAGGTGTCGATGCGCGAAAGGCAGAAGGGTTGTTGATGCTCAAAGACAACGCCGCATGGGCAGCGGGAGCGAACGAGATGTCTAGATAAGTCGGTAAATGTGTTAGCACTCCTAGAGGTAAGGTACTCAACTGCCTAGGTGCCGAGTACCTGGTGATCAAATGGGTGATCACGCTTACCTCACAATACTTTGACAGGGAAGAGGGGTCCTTGAGGAGGGACTCAACCCCTTGCGGCACAACGTGCCTTGTTGATGAGTAGGACGAGAGGGGAAAGGAAGGCGGCAGCCGTGAGGGCGCCACGGAAAACTCTCTTCCATGTTTTCATGATGGGAAGAGCAGAACTGGGCTGCTCATCTCCCAAAAACTCCCATTGCAATGGGTCCTTGATGTCAAGCAGCTCTGGCTGGGCAGCGAACAAACCTTGCTCGAAATTCTGGCGTTCACCCAGCCAAGACACCTCCTCGAATGCTTCGAGAAGCTGGCGTCTCTGAGCCGTGTACTGCGCGTCTTCGAATTCAAGTAGTCGCCGCCTCTCATCCGGGTTGAGCGCCGCTACTAAACGGTTCCTTAGCTCCCTCTGAGCCCTGGAGTGCGACGCTGCCTGGGCTTGGGTAGATGTGGGGGGCACGGGCAAATACTCCAGGTACAGCCAATAGCTGGTAGTCATCTTGACAAGTCGAAGTCGTGGGAACGTTGACGTAGATGATGGTGTTAAGCTTTGTGGAAAGCAGTTTGAGTGCGCGAGAAGATTCTTGGTGGCCCAGATTTGGGAAGTGAAGGGGGTGAAGAATTTTGTGGGAAGGTCGAGTAGATTGTGCGGTGAAGTAGGGCAGGTTTTTTATTTTTGTTTTGCAAAGTCCCAAGGTACAACGTGAAACGGACGAGCCTCACAGTGGTTGTAGGCAGACGAGGAAGGCACGTACGGTCTATGAACGACCCAACGATATCTGATAGCAAACGCGCCGTAAGGAAAGGCGGTTACGGTACGTACCTCTAAGGAAGAGACGGCCAGCCATAGACCCCCTTTAGAGAGGTTGGCAACGGTACCACAAGTAGGTGCCGTAACGCCCCGGCTAGGACATGGCCCCAGTTCCTCTACCTAGCCGTTCCCTCGTCTTTCGCTCGTTGCCTTCCAGCTCCGTTAATTCAGATGACTCCGTCCCTCTTGAGCTTCGTTCGGGTATTCGTTCTTCAGCCTGCCCGACATCCTCAACCGGAGCCCCGGCCTGGGCTTTCTCTACCTCCAGTTGCCTCCGCCGTTCCTCCGCAAACCGAACCATCTGCGGCCTGTTTCGTATTATCCGCCTCTGTCTTCGCGCCCTGTTCTTCAACACGCCGGAGTATACATACCCAACCGAAGCCATGATTATGAAGAGCGCATGAAGAAAGCTGCGTTGAGACGTCTGGAAGTCAGCCATGGTGCTGATGTCAAAAAATGGAAGGTCGTCAGAGGTCCTGCGACAACACAAAGCTGGAACAGAGCCGCCATCGGTGCGGTTATTCCCCATGCAAGCATGGAAGACACTTCAGAATTCCAGTATACAATGGATCGAGACGCCCACTCACCAAAAGACAATCATAAAGATCATTCCTTTACTCTGGTCGCTCCTCCATCGTTCTCGCGTGGAATTTGTTCTGAGCCGGTCTTTGACTGGAGCGTTATCGATAAGCCCTAGAATGAGGAAGCAAAATGTGCTGCCAGCGCAAATCAGGATGTCGAAGCACACGGCAATGACATTGATCGGTCGTCGCCGGTTCAAGCACGAGAAAGAGACGATCTCGTACGCGTTCACAAGAACAGCGACGCCCAACTAGTCCTCCAATGTCAGCAAGAGCCTACGTCTTTGTCTGATCGAGCAGAGAGACGTACCGGAAAAAAGCACGGGAAGATCAAGTCCACCCTCGCGTTGGGATTCCCTTTCCATCGATGATACCACCAGCCCATTACAGCAATAACTCCCGCCTCGTACATCAGGGCCAAGAACCGGGACAAGATTTGCGACAGCTTGAAGACAAGCCCCGGCCCAGAATCATACCTCGAAAGGCTTCGAGGACCCCGTTCGACATCCATCCATGCCGTCCCGTCTAGCACACGCCCCGTCGCTGTTGCTGGCGCCTTCCTCCCTCCACTGGTGGACAAGTCCCGATGGTAGACTGTCCAAGGAGTTAGAGCTCTGTGTTGAAAAGGCGATGTTTCCGGTCTTGCCCAATCAGTCCTTCAAAACGTCAGCTCCAAGAGACCAACCACGTCTGGGTCCCTCTTCTGTCTTCCCAAGTCCGTTTCCCTCGCAGCCGTTGCTCCCCAGGCATGAGCTAACCTCTAGCAATGTTCCAGGTATCGAGTTGCCGTCTTCGTCGTTTATGTCGTCCAAACATCAACAAAGGGAGGAAAGGAAGAAAAGGACAGAAAGAGGCGGTGGAACATGGAAGAGGAGGAAGCAATCACCATAAATACATCCAGCCATCAACAATCCTCAGCGAGTCTCAGCTCGCGACGTCAGCCAGCATGGGTGCCGCGACTTGACCACAATTCTCAGCACTAGCGGAACCGACAGGGCCCAGCGGTGGCCGGCAAACCGACGACTCGGAAGTCGGAACAGCGCAACAACGAACGAGGAAAAACCCTCTACAGTACAGCCCAGCCACCCAAAGAATTCCTGCGAGACCCAAACCAGGTCGTGAACCCTGCATGTGCAGAGAGGCTGCAGCAAGCAGCACGCCTGTACATAAACGGGCTGAAGCCTGTCTGGATCGGGAATACCGCTAATTCTCAGTCGATTTGGATACCCTTAGGGGGGCACTAAGGTCAAAAGTAGCAAAGCCTAACAAATCCCACCAATGTTGTTATTGGGTCGTTTCCAATGAATCAACTGATGCACGTTGGCAAGCCTGCGATCGGTTGTCACCTGCGTCAACTCGTTAGTAGATTGGTTGAAGCCCCTGTTGGCCCCAGATATTGCCGACACTAAGGGTATCCAAATCGACTGAAAAAAAGTGGTAGGGGCAAAGCCACATTTGGGGTTGGGATTGCTTGGCGAAATGCTACCCACACTACGATCCTTGTTACGAGATGATTCCCGATCGAGAATGCTACCCTCGGATGTAAATACAACTGCACATCTTGTGGCTCCGCTTTCTGACAGACGACCGCAATCCACGGATGCCGGTAGGGATAAATGTCTTGGTCAGAGGTTTGGGCTCTCTTCCGTCCGAATTGGTTCTAAAGAACATCTCCCATGTACGACATAGACTTTGAACGCCCAGTGTCCCTAGTGTAGGAAACCATCCAGTTTGGTTCAAGTTGTACCTTTCTTGAGCCACTAGGTCCCTGACAAGAATCTTTCTTCTCCGGGAACCCGTGGTTGGCCCCATCTCGAACCAACGACAACCTATAGCTGGACCCGACGTCACCAGCGACCCCTGCTGATAAGACCAATTAGAACGGCTGGCTACAGCACTGTGTACATTTTGGCACTGCTTACGAGCGATACTTTTCCCCCTGCAGTTCACATACATATCTGCAGGTGCTGTGGAAGCTGGTGATGGGTCAGGTGGCCATGCCACTGCAGTGTTTGTCATATAGAATGCATGCGGTGCTTATAGTCCCTGATGTTGAGTAACTGAAAGGCAAGCTTTGTGTGAGGTTTGATAGCTTTTGTCCGTCTGAAAAGGGTAGCATGTTGACGTTTTGCTTCTTTGAGCAACTGTTTTCAGGGGTAGCAGCAGGAGCGGGAAGTCAGCCGTGGTATCAAGGAAGATTATCCAAAGACGGGTTGGACCCGAATAAACAATGGAAGATGTCGTTGAGGCAATGGAAATTTGTCAAGAGAGGTACATGGGCCAGACCAAAGGAGATAGCACAATGCATGACTTTTATTCTTCCTGGAAGAAGATGGTTGAGAGTACCTGTAGGTACAAATCGCAGATATATCGCGGGTTAAGGTGCTCTCAAGGGACAACCACAAGGCTGATCATTAGGATCGCAAACAAGCGACCAAGCGAGTTGTCCGTTCACAACAAGAACTTTCAGCAGTAGCCACCATAAGATGAAAGCATCTGAATCCATTACCAGTGAACCTGATCCGCGTAACGCAGCATGTATGGAACATCGTGAATGTGGTCGAAGTTATTTTTTCCCAACTGGTATCATGACTGGAACATTTCCTTTGACGCAAATATGAACAAGTAACCACTTGGTAGGTATCTGGAGAAGCGATAGAAAGAGTTCATAAGGTTGATTTAAGACAGCACCAACATGGCACTTGTATCAACAGAACCATATATCTCGCTGTCGAAGGAAGAGAACAGGTGTGATAACTTCCTTACCGCTTGGGGTCACGTTTTGCTTGTTGCAACTGGCAGAAAGAAACCCAACATCGTTGTAGCAAAATGGCTGGGATATGAAAAGTCCTGGATACATAAAAGGCCTCACAACTTGACAACAAAGTATACCGACAATCGTGAACAGTGCGCTACCCCAGTCCATCAACATGTGACAGGAGGCAGCAAGGAAAAGTAGAAACTCTCATAAGGGAAACGGCAGAAAATCAAGATAATGTTCATGACGTATGTCCATATTATTATCCAACCAAAATGGCATTGCCGTTGGATGGTTGTTTGCAGGAGAAGGCTGATGGTTGAAATGGGATATGTGATGACGGATATTCAGACCGCCTCTCATCAATCAAAGAACGATGGTAGCAGCTCGTTTGTCCTGTGGTGTAATGGATAGCACACGGGTTGGGATTGTTTACTCGATTTGGTAAGTCCCGAGTGGGCGATTGATTAGCCGCCATCCACCCAGGTTCCGGTTCAACTCCGGGCTCGGCCGGGTTGTGATTTATCGTTCTTCTCTTTTTTCCTTTTTTTCTCGCTTTATTTTGGTTTGTGTTTGTTAAGAACACCACTCGCTATTACCCAAAACACATTTTAGCGCATCCTTGAATTCATTGTAACGGCCTACCATAATCACAATAATCTTCTTTTACAGCACCTACCTTTGAGGATTGACCATCGAGTGTCGAAGGAGTGTCAACATGAGACTAAGTCATATTCCATGACTTTCAGATGACCTAGCAGACAGCTGGCATCACTCGCCCGGCAAGATCCCCTCTCCCTCACTGGCACGGCCTTGATTTCTCCGTTTTCTCCCTCTGTTTTTTTTTCAAAATCCCCGCGCTCCTTCCTAATGGCAGCCTGGTGCCCGTCGGTCCCGAAACGCCGGGCTAGCCCTAAGGAAGAAACGTGAGGGAAGCTCAACCAACACCCTCCAGTGTCCCTCCACTCGTTATTTTCGTTGAACCCCCTTCCCCCTCCCAGAAAAAAAAACCCGGTCTCGCTCCCGTCCCCACTAAATCTTCAGTCGTGCCTTCATTATGCAATCCCGTTGGAATTGCGAGGGGCCGTGACTCTTATCATCTAAAGGAGGGGCATTGTGGTCACTTGCCAGCTGGTCTAGACCTTCGTGGATACACAAACTTGACGGATCCTGATGGCAGGCGCCAGATGCACACTCACGATCAACCTGAGCCTGACCTTCTAGACCACCACGCAGATAATGCTCCACCGTGACTGCCCCTCACCCCCCCATTCTATGTCGCTCAGGAAATTGCATTCGACACACCCAAGCCAAAGAACCTTGATGGCCAACCCTATGACCGTTTATCCTGTCTTCCATTGCCAGGACTCAAAAGTTCCTGCCAGCAGCCAGTTCAGGCTCATGCAGTGGGCAAGTTTCAGACGACCCCGCCGTGGTCTGTGGCTGCCTTTTTATCTTTGGTGTATTAGTGTGCAGGACCTTCCGCCAAGATATGGGAGATGAGACTGAAGCGATTCCACCTCCTTCCCTTCCACTCGAAAGTCAGATCCTGCCGATCCAAACCGAAAGATTCACCTTGAGAATCGTAAGGACCGGATAAGCGCAATCTCTGTCTGGTGCCCAAGGGCTCCAGCCACCCTTAGGCAGGCCGACGGGAGGTAGGAGCACGGGGGTGGTCATGGGTTTGGACGGGGACTTTCGGAGTGGGTGGGATGGCGGAGGCAGTCGCAGAGGAACGGGCTGATCAACTTCTATTCCAACACCTGCTCGATCTGGAGGTTACTGGCGATGTGATGCACGGCAGTGATGTTGCTTTGTTGAGGCCTGGCCAAACTGCCGTACAGTGAATGAAGGCAGGCGCATTCCAGGTTCGATATGGAACGGGTCAGAAGTGAGGCCAAACCTAAGTGACGTGACACGAGCACGTAAGAGTGATATGTTCTTGTCAAGTCATTATGTGCTAAACAAGAGCGGAAGAAGATGTAGCAGGAAATCGTCGGAAACAACGGTTCTTTAGCAATATATCTTATCAATTGTGTCCTCGTCCTTGGGAACTTAAAGCGTGGAAGACAGTTTCAGAGCAACTCCTTGAAATGTCGAACGGTGTGAAATGAGGTCGCCGAGTAGTTTGTAAGCTCCAAAGTGGCCGCCCCTAGTGTTCTGTGTCAGCAAGTTTCTCATTCCACGTCTCGAAATACGTAAGAGAAGCATAAGGATTGTACGGTCTGTGGCAGATAGCGATGGAATGGGCCAGCTCAACCATGATTACAAGAGACACGTTGAGTAACAATCTGACGGAACGCTAAATCATCTCATCGTGGTGGGAGAAAGATTACAGCGGATGGCTGATGGTGGGTTTCTGGGGTATGGAAGATGTGACATGTGCAATAAGAGTCGGTCCTATAGATGGTCAGCCATAGTCGTGTATAAGACAGGGTTGGGCCTTGAAAGCATGGGTTGCGAGTGTCAACATCAAGCATAAGGGGAGCGACGCACAATGTATCAAGCATACCATCAGAAACATGAACGACATTCAAGATCAAAGGCACAGCAAAGCTCGGAGATCATAGCAAAACACCGGGAATAGCAAAGGACAAAACATCAAGCAGCACAAAGCATAGACGAAACGAAGGGTAGTGAGTAAGTGAAGTGATTTAGCGATGCTAACCCGTAAATGATCCGCCACACGCACAGCAAACTGTGAAAGCCAACCTAAGCTAACTCGTGAGGAATCTGTCAAGATATCTTAGTATCTGGGTTGCGGAAAATCTTCCCATCGCTCGATCGTCCAGCTGAAATGAACGAAAGCAACAATGCTCGCCGTAAAACCAATCTAAAGACGCACTGACAAGCAAGAATTCTGAGACTAGACCACATCCTCTTTCCGTCGTAAAACCCATGATCATTTTGAAAAACTCCGCGCAGCAAGCCATTTCGTAGAGTAGACCAGAAAGACCCGTACGACGCCCCAAGCAAACCCCAAACGACAAACAACTCGAGCAAAAAGTGGCCACCTTGTCGTGGTTATCGGACGAATGATCGGAAAAGCTTAAGCCAACCGGTTACCTGGGGACGTTTTGATTGCCGATACGCCACACCCCAACGCCGAGCGATGATCAACCATAAGCATAGGCAGAGCGTCATTACTAAAAAAATTGGTTTTGTTAGCGGAGGCCGAAATTGATGTTCAAATAAGAACAGCTTGTTGAATAGAAGGAGAAAAAGTTGAGTTGAAGAGAAGTGTTGGTATGTCGTCGTTTGGGGTGAGTTGCTGCAAGAGGTTGAATGAAGGATCCTTGTCCTATTTCACTCCGCCGCGGCGGAAGAAGCGGCCACCTCGGCCACCTCTGCCACCTCGGCCACTTGGACCACTGGGTCCGGTAGTGGTGAGCTTGCACACCCGACCGCTGGTGATGCGGCCGGTGCCAGTACGACTGGCAACTCTGCCGCGGCTAGCAACTGTGCTACCACGCTGTTGGGGGCGTCCATTGGCTGCCTCCTGAGTCGCGGAGGGGATCCGGGGGCCCGCACGACGGGTGCTGTGGTAAGGGAAAGGCTCGGCTGGAGGGGGCGGGGCCAGGTCAGCTCCGTAACCGGGAAAGGCTCGGGAGCAGTTAGGCCGGCCGGAGCCGGAGGCATGAAGACAGCCGGAGAAGGTGCCGCAGAAAAAGTCGGGGGAGGAGCTGTAACAGGAGTCGAGGAGAGTGCCTGATTGTACTGAGGGTCGCCTACCAAAGCAGGGGGCGGTCCACCGTTGCCGCCGAAGTGGGGAGCGCCGTAAGGACCAGCAGGGCCGGCGGGGGAGGAGGGCCCATGTAGTGAGGGGGGGGAGGGGCGGGGCGATAGGGGGTACCGACGCCGGAGTTGTTCTGGGAGCGACCCCAGGAAAGGCGGACACGCGAGTTACCGATCGGGTAACCCTGCATCTGATTGATTGCCATTTCCGCAGCGTGGCGGTGGACAAACTGAACGAAACCGCATCCCTTGCCGGGAGGGATCTTGACGTAGGTGATTTCGCCGAATCCTTGGAAGAAAGAGCGGAGCTCGTCCTCGGTGACGTAGCCGGAGAGGCCGCCGACGAAAACAGTCGTGTTGTTAGGGTCGGTAAACTGGTTCATCGGCTGCATGGGGTTGAAGCCGGAATAGTAGGGCTGGGGCGGAACTCCCCACTGCATGTTGGCCGCATGGGCGGGAACGGGCGCCATCATTGCGTTGGCGGCGTGAGGAGCATGAGCGCCGTACTGGTGAGTTCTGCTAAGAAGTGTTAGGACCATATTCAAAGCCTATACGGGCAAAAAACTAACCTAGTCTTGGGAGTCGCGGTGCTGATTCTCATCGGACGGTTGCCACAATAAACGCCTTGCATCTCGACGAGCGCCCTCTGCTGATCTCCTTCGTCTGAAAAGCGAACAAATCCGTAGCCGCGGGATTGACCGGTCATGGCATCGGTCATGATCTTAGCAGACTTGCAGGACGGGAAGCGAGACTGGAAGAGAGAGACGAGGACAAACTCATTGACCTCGGGACCCAGATCGCCGACGAAGATGCTATACTCGGGGCCACGGTCATCGCTACATTACCATTAGTGACATGCTGAAGGACGGAGGGGGAAATGTACGCACCGACGGTCAATCAAGCCACCACCAGAAGCCCAGTTAAGCTTGAAGGCGCGGTTGCTGTTGGGGACGGGAGTGCCGTTGAGGTTAAGGGCCTTCTGAGCGGCCTCGGCGCTGGCAAACTCGATGAAGCAGTAACCGGCGTTACTGTAGGTCAAGTAAAGTCAGTATACACTAGCGATATGACGCGGGATGACAATCAAGTAAGGATAGCAGAGGTACTCACCCAGAGTTGCGATCGCGAATGACCTTGACCTGAACGTTCTCGCCGAGGACAGTGGTGAAAACGTTCTTGATGAAGTTCTCGTCCATCCAACCTTCCATCTCGCCCATCCTGGAATCAAAGTCAGATCCGATTCAAAAAGGCCGCAGTGAACGTAAGGTGAAAGGTGAGCTCAACAGCATGTGACTTACCACAGGGTCTTGCTGGCCTCGTTGGTGCCGGGCTGAACAAGGGCGGTGGGGGCCTGGAAGTTGGCCTCGGAGTTGCCGTTCATCGGAGGAGCGGCGTTGTTGGTGCCGGGGGCTCCGGGAGCAGTGAAGTCGGACATGGTCCTTTGCGCTGTTAGTCTAGTTCAAGAAACGACACGAGAATGAGATCTCGGCGACATGTGACGTTGTGGTAAGGCTGATGCGACAGAAGACCGAAAGGAAGTATGAGGTATAAGGCGAAGCGGGGAAGATGAGATACGCGGGTGACTGCTGGCAGAAGGGTCCGACGTGGAAAGATAAGAGAGGGGATTGTTGCCACGGGAACAATGAAGGAAAGCCGGGGGAAAGTGGGTATGGGCAAGGTAGGAAGGCAGATATAAGCGCAAAGCTTGGAGTGAGATGGCAAGAAGTGCAGACGGCTGGGCAATGACTGGATTCGTCTTGTCCGAACTCCTGGGGTGCTGTCCTGATGATGAACAAACGTACCCGGAAAGAACGCGATGCGAGGAAGATCCAAGGCCAAAAACCGTGAGGTTATTCTTCTCGAGTGTGAAACAAGTAGTGAAAGGGTGCAAAGTGAGGCCTTACCACGTCGACAGCAAGTTGACTGCGCAAGGCAAGGGTTGCTGAGGTGGAAGAGTGGAAGGTGAGGCAGAGGTCAGGGCAGGTGGAAGGCGGTAGTAGTAGGTAGGGTAGGGTACGTAGAACTCAAAGGCAGGAACTGCAAATGAAGCCCCAGGACAAGGATGGAAGTTTGCCAGAGTGGAGAAATTTTCGAGTAATGCTCAGCGGTCCCGATATTTTGCCAAAGATGTGGGCACTACTCATTCACTCGGCCGAGTCCAGACAAAACCCTCTTGCAGGCTGCGCAAGCGCGCCCGCAGGCCGCAGCACGCGCAAGCAGTTGGGAAGATGGCAGGGAAGCTGGGATAGCAAGGGCTGGAGGTAAACAAGAAGATCAACACTTACAATGACTTGCGTATATCGGCGACCGTGTTACTGCGAGGTTTGGGTGTAAGCGGAATGTGCCGCAAGTGCGTAACGCGTCTCTGAAAGCGCCTCATCTTGTTAGCTTTGACGAGCGTTGCGATGGGCGTGGTGACGAGTGTTGCAACGAGTGTCGTGAGAGGGAGAAGATCTGGGCCAGAGCGACTCTCGAGGAGACGGCTATCCAGCACCCAGGATGTGCTGCCTGATCTTTCCAAGGCAGAGACACACAATAGGGTCGTCTGTGACGCAATAGGCTTCTGCCAATATGCAAAGGCCCAGAACGCGAAACACCTAACGTGGTCAAGTGCTCACTGTATGGGATGAAAAGGCAGTGCAAACAGAGGAGGGAAGGAGGCAGACACTCACCGGTGTCGGAGGCAGTGAGCTCAACAAGCAATATGCTGAGCTGCAATGAGATCAAGCGCTACTTAGAATACCGTTACGCCTAACAAGAACGCACGAAGACGAACGAGTTGGCCGCGAAAAGACGACAAACTGGGAAGATAAGGTGGTAGTTACCTGTATCCGTCAGGATATCCGGACGAGAGAGAAAGGACAGCGGAGACCTGCGGAAGCTGGAGCATTAGTAAACGTACGAGATAGCATGAAGAGGCCGGTCCCGGCGGTTCGTGCAAGATGAAGGCGGCATCCGTTAGCAACTTTGTCATCCCAAGTTCAATGCTTGCTCAACTCCTGCAAAGTAATCCCTTTGCACACGCTCTCTCAGCAGGTCCGACGGTCTAGCCAGACCGGCCACTGGTGGATCAGCCATTGAACCAGCTTAAAGCGACGGTTGAGCCAATCTCGTCGTGGCCACGAAAAACGACAGAATCTGGTATCGAAGGGTGCGGAATCGCGGTGTCCAGATCGACCACTTGCCCCTCTGCTTGCCGTGGAGCCTTGTTGATGTAGATAGCTTCAAGTCCCATTCTTAATCCATCTCTTTGAAAGCCTGTCTGCGCACCGTCTCACTCGCCAAATCACAGGCGCCCCGTTGCGGCCCAAGCATGGAATGTGGATGCCGAGAAGAGATCGTATGAAACTTGGGAGGTGAAAAGTTCTCGCCGACTGGAGTGTAGATGTTGGTATCCGGGATGGGAATCTTCACTGCCCACGAACAAGGCCATCGAGAGGACCATTGTAGCAAATGATGTGAAAGAGGGCCACCAAAAATCCATCGCCGGACTATCCAGAGGCCCGTTCATCATAAGAGCACAAAGAAAAACTTCTTGGTCTGCGAGGTCCTCGACGTGGCCCACCGATCTCCATGTATCATGTTCTTTCTTTCCTCCCTTTTCCATTATCAGAGCATCCTATTCCATTCACTGTGTTCCTTCTCTCGGTTTGGGACGTAGTATTATATCGAAGCAGCGTCGCAGCGTGCCGTGTGGGTAGTGTAGCGAAGTCTGGGAGATCGGAGCTCGGGATGACGTCGGAGCACGTAGAGGGATGTGCAGTTCGGGAACCATCGGACCTCTCAAGGAGTGCTCTTGTCTTGGAGTCGCGTGTAATCGAAGTCGTTTGTTGGATGGGCCAATCCGGTGGATGCCCTATAGCTCTTTGCCAGAGAGCTTGGGAACAGTCACATAATAGCCGAGCTTCGCCGGGCACCACGCCGACGGACACGACATCGCTTGCCACGACACACGGAGCTTGCGGGCACGGGAAGAAGGGGAAATGAAGCCGGGTTGGAAGCAGGACATGGTCAAGTGGTTGAACTTACTCTTTAAGAGCACTGGAAGCTGAGCAGTCTGCTTGCGTGTTTTTCCAACTGGATGAAGGACAGGGACGAATTGCTAAGGGAGCCGCCAGTTCAGCATGGCGTCAACGGGCACCAGCAGGAGGAAGATGGAATACGGACCTTGCCACGACGCTAACGACGACTTTAAGAGGTTGCTGGCGATACTGGAAAACAACCGCAAGACACGAGAGAAATAATCGAAGAAAGCCGAAGCCAAGAGGACGTTTGGTGCGAGTAAGGCAGGAATTGAAGAAAGACCTTGGGAGATGTGCACCAGACACGGCAAAGCAAACGCAGACGACTCCAATGAAAAGAGAAGTGAAAAGCGGAAAGGCAGATGGGGAAGAAAGGTGGAGGGAGTCCTTGCTACATAAGTGGTGGTAGAAAAGTAGAAAAGCTGAGGAAAGAGCACGCACGAGGAAGAAAATGTGGTGGAGCTTCAAGTTTTCGGGCAGAGCAAAGCTAAAAAAAAAAGCGTAAAAACTGGGAAAGACCGCGCCGCTCGTCGCTTTCTGTCGTGTATATTACGGTGCGCCGATGTATCGCCTGACGCCGGGACCGACCAGCCCCTGGGCAGATTTTCAACTTCACCAAGCAGTTGTGGCTGTCTGGGTGTACTGTGTCCGCTATCAGTCTCTTTTTGCCCGCTGCTGTACGGTTTGTTACGCCAGACCTGCAGCGAAGTCCTCTTTACGCCGCTAAAGAGGATCCTGGCACAAGCCGCGATGGTGGGCATGGTGGGGAAGGGAGGGGCTGCCGACGCCATGACCGCGTTCTAGCGCATTGATGACACTATCATCTGCGGATGTACCCGAGACCAAGGTGTACTTGATTGCACGGCCGATTTGGCAATGCTTGTTAGGTACCAAGCTCCGCTGAAGTGACTTGCATGAACTTGCGACCTTGTTAGTGCAGATCACCAATTGCGTAGGGAAAGAGCTAACGTGGACCGGGGATCAAGAAAAAGACATTTCTCAGAGCAGGTAGGTACGATGCAAAGCGCACTCCCCAGAACCTCAACATCCAGTGCAGCTTCCTGAACTTCCCACTTCAACCAGGTGGGAACTCAAACCCTCGGGTATCCTCCCATCGGAGTCCGAAAATGGGAGAAGCCGGGCATGGTTGCGAGAGTTGGGTGCAATCCCTCTCCCCTCCGACACTCATCATGCATACCAATCCTCTCAGACACCTTATCTGGTATCAATGCCACGGGCACAAGCTGGAAGAGGTCTTCTGTTTTGAACGATGGAAATGGCCTGCAGCAGCATGTCTGTACCATGGGCGTCAACATGGCCAGATATGACGGCATTACCTTGAGCATGTCCGGACTACCAGACGCCTGGTACCTTGGATATCTTTGAGGCTCGGTCTATGCACCATTCGAAAGTTCACGCAGCTGCCAACTGTAAAGACAGAATGAAGGAAGTGAATTACACATGGGAGTTGCTCGCTTCGGGCTTTTCCCCCATTGACTACCGGCATCTTGGGGGCCCAAAGTCTCGAGCATCTCCCGGTACCTGCCTCCAGTCAGTGCGTTCCATGTCTTTTGGTGTGAGGAAAGGCCGGGAGTCAAGGCTAGCCGTTCTCGTGGCAAATTTCAACTTGGTTCGTGGATGGAATTCAGATGAGGTGATTCGTGATCACTGGCGGCCTGTGATGGAGGGGAAGTGGTCGTCAAACTGGACTACGGTAGGTAAGCCCGCGGCCCATCATTCAAGGTCAAGTGCCATTGGTGCGAGTGGTTGAGAATTGGAAAGATGCTTAGCAGTCCAAAAGAACACAAAGTATATCCAATTTTGGCCAGCTTTAGCCTCCTCTAGAAAACATCTAGAAAGCTACTCCCAGTAGGACGGTAGCAGTGTGGTTACCAGGAGGGAGAGAAATGATACCACCAGGCTTGTGGAGATGCCCGTAGGGATCTGAATGGACCCCCCAACCAGTGCGAGTCGCAACGAAAACATGCTGTTCGTACAAACAGGTGGACGAATCAAGAGATGGGAATTTGACCTTGACAGGGCAAAAGGGGTGTGGAAAAGATGCCTCCCCAAAGGTTCCAGAACTTGGATGTCGTGCATCTCCAGCAACCACGCGGCGCCGCCTGTCACTAGCGATCCGTCGTATGTAATGTACATACACCGATCTAGCCAGGTACTTTTTGCTGACTGGTGGGTTCTGTCCCTCATGGGCCGAACGATTAATGACAATCCCCATTCTTAACCTCGAGGCGCCTTGCGCTTGTTACATTGGAGACACAAAGGCTAAACAGTTCTCAACCGTCGAGTCCCAGACCTGCTAAATGGGAATCTTCTCGTCCGGCGTCCCCGTTCAGAATGAAAGTGGAAAGTTCTCCTCAATGAAAACTCACGGAAAGATATGGCTGTCTGTGAGAGTTGTCATGAATCGTCCCAAATTACCTATGTACACTGTCTGATGTGCGATACAACCTTCTCCGGATCTACAGTCACCTCAATCGGCACTTATAGCCAATAATGGCGGAGCTTAACCGCCACGTCCGAGAAGCATTTGATATCTTGAAAGACAACGTTCGGTATGTCAGTATGAGCATGCTCACAGGTCTTGAAAATTGTGTGACGGTCCTCCTTGATGCCTTGGAGCTGTATGCTGCAAAGAATTCACGCCCCAACAACTGGAATAGAGGTATCATTGGTAGCCCCAATCCGGAATCCGAAGCATATCACACCACCAACGGGCATAATACGACGGCCCGGTTCGTCGAGGCAAATGTGCTTGAATCATGGCTTCCACTTTGGTGTTCAGGCCCCGAGGAGTGAAGGAAGCCTGGATTCTGAGATGCAGAAAAGCATGAAAGCAGCCGTAGCATATCAGGGCGATATGAAGAAACCGGCTTCAACGCGACAGTCCGGTTCTTCTAGCATTGCATATCGTGAACGCACGTCGATTCTTCTTGGGTATTTTCCAGCATCAGCTTGGTAGGTTTAATTTGGTGCGCCAATTACCGTGACTGATAACGGATATACAGTTTATCGGGCAGGCTGAATGCCTCCAAGGACTCAGAGCAGCTTGCCGTATAAGACGCGTAACTCCGACAAGCCCGTGGACACGTGCCTAATCTAACGATAGCATGGATGTTCACAGAAAGAGACAGGCAGGCTGAGCATCGCTGGGCTCTCCTTACTTCTCAAAGGCGGGAAGAGCATAATGGGAGAAGGCGTGGGTTCGGGGAGATGGTTGATGAAGATGGAAGCAACGAGTTTTCAAGGCAAAGGGCCTGCAAATCCATGGCCAGGAGAAAGCCGAATAAAACTGTGACGACTTGCTTGACGCTGGCATTTCCATTTTCGCCGAGAAGAGCATCTCATCACGGCGGGAAGACTGGGGGCGCGAGGTGCGAGCAGGTAAGTACCGTTTGATTTTCAAGTAAGAATAAGTAACATCGGATGACCAAATGTCTCGATATGGTTTCTACTGTCATCGAAGGCAGTCGTGGTCTTCAGCCTAACTCGGCGTTGGAGGACCGGAAATCTGATCGACTCTTTGACTCTGTTGACTTCTGTCAGTTGGCAGTTGCTGTGAACTTTCCAAGTTCCATCTTGAAGTAGGTGCCCGAGCAGTTGCCCAATCGGCAGGTCCGGGTTAAGCAGTTCCATGCCCTGTGGTTGCTGGCGCGTCTGGGCCCCACTAGAGGTATTGAGGCCACCGAGCCCCGATTAGTCATTTGCGGGGCTGCGGTACGTATGTATGTACACGTACTTCAAGGTACCAGTGTGCCTTCGTGGGGCTTCGCTGTGCCTGCCACCAGCTCATCCGGTCAGGAGTGCCCCTGGTTGTCAGTGTTGTCATCCACCACGATGATGAAGTGAGCCAACCGACAACCATCCAAGCAAAGAAATACCACCACACCACACAACGATCGCCAGGCACAGCATGCTGACGAGGAAATACAACGTGGCAATACATTTCTAATACCTAGGGTAATTCACCTCACTATATAATTTTACTGCCATTCTCCGGCTACATTTTCGCACTCGCGCGTTGCCCTCCTCAACTGCACCTCCCCCTTCACCTGCGTTTCGCGACTGGCGCATCCTTTGGAGAAGCCTTCATCCGCGACTCACCTCATCACCTCAGCCTCAGCCAGCACCAGTAATATTTGAGTTACAGCAAATACTTCACCATGGCGGCCCCAACCGAACAAAGAGAGCTGGAACTTGTAGAAAAGCTAGACTTTCGCATTCTCGCCGTGGCCAACAACGAAGAGAAGCTACAGGAGCTCCTCGACAGGTACCTACCGGCCTTACTCCTAAAAGCAGGAAGTGAGCATGCCTCAGTTCGCAACAAGGTTGGTCAACACAAGTCGCGTTTGTCTTGGGAGACCCAACCCGCGTGAAAGCTCACATTGTCATGTCCACAGGTCGTTGTAGTATGCCAAAGGCTTACTACATTCATCGAATCACCCAGCATCATACTTCCAGTTACCGCTTTGCTCGAGCAGTACAAGGCCACAGGCTCACAACTCGTCAAGTATTTCGACCTCCTCTTCATACAACACAGTCTCGCCAGAGTAGGCGTGGTGGTACGTCGATATCTCATCCGCAAGATTCTCCCTGGTATCGGTTCGGATGTAAGCCCTTCAAGAGCCAGCTTGTTCAACGTCTTCCTGCGTTGTCTTCGTGACTTCAATTTGCCTCCCAGGGGCAGCAACGAGGACGGAAAACTCCGGGAACAAATAGGCCTTCAGGATCCCAGAGATGCCAACTTTGTCGCCGAGTGGTTGGGAAAGCTGCTATTGTTGCGTATAAATGCACAAGGCGCCATGACTTCCCCTGGGTTGGCCCAGAGGGATGTCTCTTTTCTCACACTGGACAAACCCGAGACTTGGAGTCTTGCCGACTTGTCCGAGAGTCGAATCAAAGTCGTCAACCTTCTCGCAAGCGGTGCTTTCACCGACCAAGAACGTTTCCTTCCCGCCATCTATGCTGCCTCGAGCTCTGATTTCCGCCTCGCTGGTGTCGGCGATGATATGCTCAAGAGAAACAAAGTGTCACTCGAAGACACAGATATCGTGCGCCAGCTGTTTGAGGCCCACTCAAGACTACCCGCCCCGTACAGGATACGCATTCTTGGCCTGCTGAGCAAGTCAGAAATCGCTACCACCTTCACAGACGAGATTCTGGCGGCTTTCCGCCTAGATGTAGCCGCTACAGGTCCAGATGCCATGCAAGTGGATGGCCTACCAACCTTATCTTCCGGTCTTGAACTCACCAAGGTACATCGGGCCTTGTTTGAGTTCATTAACTGGGTCGCCCGCATAGGCGCCAACAAACCAGAATTCTCACAGATCAGGTCTTTGCTTGTCTCACTTCTCCGGGAGTTCGTCGAGGCCCAGGGCTGGCCCAAGCCTGAACGCCAGTCTCACGATGACAACACCCTTCGTTCCAGGGCCTACGAGACCATTGGCGTCCTTGCAAAAGGCACGGCCATGTCTGACACAGAGCGCATGGTCTTGGCCCGATGGCTGTTCCAATCTCTGTGCGAAGATCCCACCGCGGACGTAGTCGTCAACATTGATGCCGCTCTCTCCAGTCTTGCTGCGAACTTTCGACCGCCTCACAACCCCGACCTGTCTAAACAGCTCCATGCCTTGATACTGAAGTCAATGGCTAAAACCGAAGAAGGCAACATTGTTCGGAGTTCTCGACATGCTGCAACAAAATGGGCCAACCAATGCTTGCCCTTCTCTGATATATACGCTCGATGGGTTGATATCCTTGCAGTTGCTGGCCGGCGGGACGAGCGAAGTGACGTGGTTGAAGAGGGCCAAAAGGGCTTGAACCCTTGGACGTACTACGCCAACGAAGAGAGACCTACGAAGCTGCCTGTCTGGCACGAGATGGTGGTTGCCTTTTTCACCAAAACCATATCATACGATGGTAACCCCGACGCCGGCATGGATATCGACGAAGGGTCATCATTCCGCAACTTCCCTGGGCAGTGCATTCGGGCCTTCCCTGTTGCTGTCGACTATTGCAAGCGGATTCTCTTCCTCACTGCATTGCAAGACTTCACCATTGAGCCAGGCTGGGAGCGCCAGTTGAGTGCAACCGTACACTCTGATCTTAAAACCCGGCGTGCTATCCGTCATCACTTGACCTCCAGTGAGCAAGGCCTAGCTGTCTCCTACCTTCTCCGTTCGGCCTTTGATGGCATGCTCTTGGAGGACACCGAGATCGCAGAAGGGTGTGGACGCTGTTTCGTTGAGCTTGCTTCTTTCACGCCGAGCAGGATCCTCGCGCCATTGGTTCCTCGTGCTATGGAATTGCTTCCGCTAGTCACTTCTAACAAACGCGAGATCCGCCCCCTTGCGTGCTCGGCGTTTGGCATCCTGGCCGCTCATCCGGCGAACAGCCAGGAATCTGTCAAGAAATCCATGTCTACGTTGGCGGAGATTGCCGGAAACCGAAAGACAGCCGTTGGATCAGAGCTCAATGCGGTCGAAGGAGCATGGAATGCACTTGCGCATCTCATTTCCAGATCAGTGTATTATTCCACAGACAAGGAAAGCAATGTCAGCAGTGGCCTTGGGGACTGGTTTCCCACCCTTGGCCAGGTGTGCTTTAACACCCTCTCGACACAGGAAGCCTTGATAGAAGCATACAGCCAACTCTGGACAGCAGGCGTCTGTGTGCTTCCAGAGGCAGATGAGGATGACATTATCAGAGCTTTCGTTGACCCCTTGGTTCTCCTTGCCAAGAAGGGTAACGAAAAGGCCATTACTGCCCTTGGTCGGCTCGTAATGTCATTGCCTTCTAGGAAAGCATCGTCTAATGACGATGAGAGCTGTGACCTTGTTGCCGTCATTCTCGAGAGGCTGTTTGCTCTCTACGAGCTGAGACAGGCAGAGGTACACTTCACCGTGGGCGAAGCCATCGTAGCCGCCATCGCATGCTGGGATTCTGATGTCGTCCAGCTTACGCTGAATGTTGAAGTCAGCGGAGATTCGTACCGCATACCCAAGCGGCCTAGCCGGGTTACTGCGGTCTTGGAGAAGTTGCTCACCGACTGCAAGAACACCAAGCCCTCTCTCCTCAAGGCCTCCGGTATCTGGCTCTTCTGCCTCATCCAATACTGCTCTCATCTCGAAGAGGTTCAATCCAGGTTACGTGAATGCCAGGTAGCATTTATGCGCCTGCTCAGTGCTCGCGATGAACTGGTTCAGGAGACTGCCTCCAGAGGTCTCTCACTCGTATACGAGAAGGGAGATGCGGCCCTCAAGGGCGATCTCGTACGCGATCTTGTTGCATCGTTCACGGGATCCGGCCCCCAGCTCAAGGTGGATGAAGAAACTGAACTCTTCGATGCCGGTGCGCTTCCGACTGGCGACGGCAAGTCCGTCACCTCGTACAAGGATATTGTCAGCCTTGCGAATGAGGTGGGAGATCAAAGTCTTGTCTACAAGCTCATGTCTATGGCGACGAACGCGGCCACGTGGTCCACCCGATCTGCCTTTGGTCGTTTTGGACTGAGCAACATTCTCTCTGAGTCAGAGGTTGACCCCAAGCTGTACCCGAAGCTGTATCGGTACCGCTTTGACCCCAACCCGAACGTGCAAAAGTCCATGAACGATATTTGGAAAGCTCTGGTCAAGGATTCCAATGCCGTCATTGATACGCATTTCGATGCTATCATGAAGGACCTGCTCAAGTGCATCCTTGGCAAGGAATGGAGAGTGCGCGAGGCAAGCTGTGCTGCCATCATTGAGCTGGTCGGCGGCCGACCCTTCCAGAAGTACGAGCAGTACTACAAGGACATTTGGATTGCGGCCTTGAAGGTCCTCGATGATGTTAAGGGTACTGTGAGGAATGCTGCTTTGCACATGTGCATTGCTCTTTCCACCACGTTGGTCCGCCAGTTGGAAGAGTCTGGCAACACCGCGTCTGCCAGGGCCATGATGAACGAGGCTTTGCCGTTCTTGCTCTCAGACAAAGGAATCGAGAGTGGTGTGAAGGAGGTCAAGCTCTTCTCTACCGACACAGTAATCAAAATTTGCAAGAAGGGTGGGAAGGCCCTCAACCCCTACATCCCTACCATAGTTACAAATCTGCTTGGGAGCCTCACCACACTTGAGTCAGACGTTGTTAACTATTATTACCAACGATTGGGGGAAGACGACAGAGACAAGATCGACAAACTTCGCAGCGCAGAGGTTGCGCAGAGCCCGATTACTGAGGCGATTGAGAACAGTCTCCGGACAGTTGACGCAGAGGTCATGGTGGAACTCGCGCCGGCGCTGGAAGAGGCTGTCAAGTCGGCTATCGGAATGCCAACCAGGATCGGCTGCAGCCGCGTTTTATCTATCCTTGCAACTAGGCATACTGCCAATTTCACGCCGTACTCAGCGCGATTCCTGCAACTGATGGAAAAACAGGTTTTGGATCGCAACGACCAGGTCAGCCAGGAATATGCGCGTGCTGCTGCATACATTATCCGTGGCTGCTCAGACGACGTCAAGCTGCGCTTCTCTGATAAGCTTCTGAGGCTCTATCTGGAGTCGGAGGACGAGGCTAGACGCCAGAAGGTTGCCGATGTCGTGTTGGCTCTCTCGAAGATCTCTCCTGACCATTTTAACGCCCTTGAGGGCAAGCTTCTGCCTTTCTCATATCTAGGAAAGCATGATACAGACGAATACGTTCGGAAGGCATTCCACGAGGTGTGGGACAAGCACGCAGGAAGCAGCCTGAGCGTTTCGAGATACGTGTCCGAGATTGCAGAGTTGGTACAACTCTCATTAGACACGGCGCAATGGTCACTAAAACATGCCGGCGCCCTCGCTATCTCGTCTGCCGTCGCAGGCATTACCAAGGCCAGCGATGTCACCGGTCAAGTCAACGTCGAGAACCTCAAGACCTTGTGGCCCGTCTACGACAAGGCATTGGCCCTCAAGACATTCCCGGGTAAAGAGAAGCTCCTCGAGCCGTTCCCTGACTTTGTCAGCAAGAGCAAGGCGATCTGGCAAGAAGACGCCTCCTTTGGGGAGCGGCTGAAGAAGATCGCCGTTCGCGAGGCCAAGAGGAATAACAATGCATACCGGCCCCATGCATTCCGCTGTCTATGGAAGTTCGCAGCCGCAAGAGATGACTTGACTATGCTGCCGACCATCACAGAAATTGTCACGCCGCACTTGGACATGAGCAACGACGAAGACGCCATGGATCTCGACGATAAGGCCAATATCAATGACAGGGCAAGGGGCCTGGATCTCAAGAGCCAGACTGCGTGGGCCGGCATGGAAGCTATCGCCAAGGGCTACAACCGTGCCAAGATGCAAGAGGATGCCATGGGCCAGTTGAGGGACATCGCGCTCGCTCTTGAGGAGAACGCGAAGAAGCCCGATTTCAAGAGGCCCTATATCAGCCATGCTTCCTTCGATGCCATCAGAAGGGCCTTTTGGTACGGATGTTTGGTGGAGTTGCTTGAGGAAGCCTTCAACGCAGTACATAAGGGAGGAGCTGGGTCTATAGCAGATACCCTTGAGGTCCTCCCATTCTATTTCGCAACTCTCGACCTTGACAGGGCCGACACAGGAACAGAGGACCAAAGGCTGCTGAGGGCTAAGGCTACCATGGCGGCTATGGTGCTCGCGAAGCTTCCCAAGGATCATGCCACGGCTGGTGATGCTAGTGGCATCGCCTTGCCAATGGAAATCAAGAAGAAGGTTGAGAAGGCGTTGAATGAAGAGCGTTCGACGGAGGTACATGGAAAGTGGACGACGTGCTTGGTTCTGCTTGATTCTGCTTGATTAGGGACTCAAGTAGGCAGCGCCTGAGAGGAGCTTCAAGGCCCTCTTTTTGGTATCCCTCCGTGGTAGTGCACACTTTGGTTTGTTGGGTAGGAGCCTGTAGTAGGATACGGGCGGAAAGACAACAAGAAATGGGCTTGGCTGTTTTTCTTCAGGTGTACGGACACAGTCCCATTCACCCTCACTACCTACCCTTATTCACTGGGCGGCGTTCTTGGTGGCGATGTGGTTGTCATTTATTGCTTGATGGTTAATTGCTTGAGATGCAAGGCATATGTGATCTTCTGGTTAGGCTGTTATAGGCGTTGGCAGATACGGCAGGCGTTTTACAGATCTGAGATGGCCATGACATGGACAGCCGATGGAAGGTTGTCATTACATAACTGTACTTTTTACTGTGCCTAGAACACTATAACATAACGGATCTCGTAGTCTAGAGATGGTGGAACCAAATGCCAGCGAGTTGGGTAATCCAGTTCAATGGAAACCCAGGGGCGAAATTCCGCAATCAATTGACTACGTAAGGGTAATTGACAGGTTCATATCTCAACAGTCCTGAACTGCAGTTTCCCAGTGCCAGATTCAGGGTCCGCAGGTTGTGGTGGGTGAAGGGTGTTCGCTCAGGATATCCCGTCCCCATGCTCACGCGCGCCACGACCACAGCTTCCTTGCTACCGGACGTTCGAAACGAAAGAGCAAGACTTTATTTGCTCGTATCGCAATGAAATAATGAGAAACAGGAAGAATTAGATTTAGTATAATTGTAATTTTCCCTCTTGGACTGTGTTTGAACTTTATTTGTTGAAATCTCCTGGCCAAGGCACTTGAGTGTTGGCGGATAACCCTAACCCACGCTGTTCGCAGCCCAGACCCCCGGCCGACACGGGGAGAAGCTTCCATCCCAGGTCCCCGCCGCTTGACTGCCCGAGCGTGCTCTCCAGTGCGACAGTGTAGGTGACAAGCGTCCCTCTTGCGTCACCAGCTTGGGCGCCTTAAGAAATGGATGCGATGCCGAACCTTTGATTCAACCTTTGACCACTCGGATTTCCAAGACGGAAAAGGGTTCATTCACCTTGCATGCCCATTTGGCTTTCTTGCCGCAGCAAATATTCCCAAGTATTAATCAGCCGGCAGAACGCAGGTCGCCACATCATTTTCTCTTCTACACTAGGTACACTAGAAAAGCACCATCGAGCTCCGGCGGCCGATAAACGAGCCCGACCAGGATCCCCACCTCTCTGTGGCCTCGAAACGAACATCCTCCCCCGCCAACTTCAAGTCACTGCGCGTGCGCTGTACAACATTGGTCGGTGCGGTCACAGCTTCGCGTTACGGCTGCGCATTCTCGAAATTTACAGCAGATCGAAGAACCACCTCTTTCCCACATCCGGCCTCGATTGCCTGCCCTCAACTCGCTCCCTTATTCTCAACTTCTTCCTGACCCGCAACAGCTCCAGCCGAGCTGCCAGATACTAACAACGTCTTGTCCCCCCTTCTCGACAACTCGCCACCACTCAAAGATTGGGCACCGCACTGCACTTCGTTTGAGAATTCTTTGGCCTTTCCTTCAAACGACATCACTTAACCGACAGTCTACACGATGGCTGATTCAGAAACTATCGCGAACTTCGCGAGCATCACGGGGGCGAACGACACGGCTGCCAGGCGCATGCTAGAGTTGTGCGGCGGTGATATCGAGCAAGCCGTCCAGCTCTGGTTTACCGACGAAGAGCTCCAGCGCACGCTTTCCAACCCCGCGACAGAGGCGGCTCCCACTGCCGCTTCTCGATCCGCTGGCGCCTCTCGCTCGTCGAGCAGGCCCAACCGCCCCAACGTCGGTCGTGAAGACGCTGCCGGTGTTATTCACATCGACTCGGACGACGATGATATTCAGATGACGGAAGATGACGACTTGGGACAATTCGACGACTCGGACGATGAGACGACGAGGGCAGCCAATATTGCCCAGAGGGCACAGGAAGAGGAGGATGCCGCCATGGCAAAGCGACTACAAGAAGAGATGTACGGTGGTGGCGGTGGTGGAGGATCCAGAGCTGGAGGCCCAATGGGCGAGGACGATGTTCGTGCTCCCATGTCTCGAACGACAGAGACTCTCGTTGCTCCAGGAGGTTTTGGCGGAGACGACGATGAGATGATGTTTGAGCATTTCCGGCAGGAACAGGCAAGGGCGAGGCAAGCTCGGGGTAAGTTATTTACAAAGTTCCAAGCCACTGATTCCATGTATTTGTTAACACTCTCTTCCAGCTGGGCGACCCGGTAACCCGTTCGCGCAGCCTACTGTTTGGGATCAGCCTCCCGATCCCGCCCCCGGTGCCGCTGCCGGCGGTGTGGTCTCGCCTCCTACGGGAGCTGCTGCAACGCGGGCTGGCCGTCTGGCAGAGCTTTTCCGCCCCCCGTACGAGTTGATGGCACATCTTACCTGGGACGAGGCGCGTGACGAGGGCAAGGAGGAGAAGAAGTGGATTATGGTTAATCTCCAGGATATGGCTGATTTCAACTGCCAAGCCCTCAACCGCGACATTTGGAAGGATGGGCCGATTAAGGAGCTTGTTAAGCACAACTTCATATTTCTGCAGTACGACAAGGCCGACCGCTCGGCCGAGCAGTACATCTCCTTTTACCTCCCGAACCAGACACACGAAAACCCCCAGAACTACCCTCACGTCTCGATTATCGATCCCCGCACAGGCGAGCAGGTCAAGGTGTGGAGCGGCATTCCGTTCCCCAAGCCGCTCGAGTTCCACGCCCAGTTGGCCGAGTTCCTCGATAGGTATAGCTTGGAGGCCCACGCTAAGAACCCTGTCCTCAAGGCGAAGCAGCCCAAGCAGGTGGTGGATGTGGACAGGATGACGGAGGAGGAGATGCTCGAGATGGCACTCCGCAACAGTCTTGAGAACGGAGGCGATAGCAGCTCTTCGGCGCCCAAGGTCCACGACCCCGATGCCCTTACCAGGCCGACAGACTCGGCCAAGGGCCAGGAGCGAGCCGACGAAGAGCCTGCCCAAGCGGCACCCGAGCCCGAGCCCGAGGCTCCCGCCGCAGAGGAATCTATTTTCGCCCAAATCGCCTCGGACCGACCGCATGTCGAACCCCCTGTTGACCCTGCCACCGTGACGAGAGTGCAGATCCGCAACCCCCCACAGCGCATCGTTCGCCGGTTCAGACTTGACGAACCCGTGCGCCGTATGTACGAGTGGCTCAAGGCCGAGCCCCTGGAGGGCAAGGTGGGACTCGAGTTTGAGCTCAAGTCGATGCCTGAAGGTGCCAACCTGCTTGACGTTATTGATCAGACGATTAAGGAGGCTGGCCTGGCGAATGGTACTGTCATGGTGGAGTTCATTGAGGATTAGGATGACCAAGGGTCTATCTACGAGCTCATAGAGGATATGGATGGACTTGATGGGTGGCTGGATGACTAACTAGAGAAGGGCATTCATTTCTAGAACGGGTGTTATTATACCTTTTGACAATTGTCAGTACAAAGACAAGGAAGGATATATCGTTTGTTTTACGGCACGCACAGCCCGGAATTGGCGTCACAAGGCGGAGGAATTCTTACAGGTAACTCTACTATGGAAGAAATCGAGAAAGACGTTTGTCTCGCAGCGGAAGAGGACAGAGAGGACAGAAGGAAACAAGGCGTATCATGGGTCATAATATCAGCTTTCCGTTAATTTTCTTGCTCGCTTTGATTCCCCCCCTCTTCCTGTATCTTTTACACAAAACTCTAGGCACGGTAAATGCACAACGATAGGTGACAAAACTACTCGTGCTCCTTGTCTGAATAATCCTCCACCGTTACCAAAGTTGGTTAGTTACTAGTCATCTGGCATATGCCGTGATGGCTGCTTCGGAGTGGTGATGAGGATTGCTTTATGTGGTTGTGACCGTTTTACCGTACCCTACAAAAATACACGCGGGTAGGTAAGGTGGAAGCTGCAACTTCGAGTCTGCAACTGTCACTGCTGCAGGGTACCCTCTGATAATCCAGTTGCTGGTGCATGCACATCGTTGACCCCCGCAATGTTTACCTAAATATAACCCTCATGTTATGGCCTACAACAAAGAGAAAAGAAAGCTCGGGAAGATTCAGGTATCATTGTCCATATCGAAAGTAGGTGATCTCAGCTTATACTTCCTAGATCTTCACGATCTAAAAGTCACAAGCTGCGGCGCTAATTTGAGCAGCAGCGGCAGCTACATTTCAAGAGGGAAACCCGACATGCCTGCCCCACAAATGAGACCCCGCTCCTCAGTGAGCTAAGTGCTAACCCAGATTCCCAGATATTGCTTGTTTTGTATCTGGCTGCCCTTCCTCCTCACCTTCCTTCCTGGTTTCTATGTGTATATCCAACACTACCTTAAGATGTTTCGCGCGCTCCTGATCGTCTACTTAGCCAATTGGCGACTGAGAGGAATGCTGAGTCTGTGAGTAGTATGGAAAGAAAATCGAGAATGGGAATTACCTTCCAGGTTGTTGCGGATTGCTGATTCGTGAGCTAGAGGTACCGCATTCCTTTCAGCACAGCACTTACAAGTATAGCGCGCTACAGGTACCTGCTGGTAAAACGGGCACTGCAGCGCTGGACACAGTGCGCGTTGTGGGGAACGATGGAGCCGGGGCTGGGGTCCCGCCATTTCTTAGGCAACTTTCCTCCGGGTCCCCTGCCAACCACCGACCTGCCTCCAACTCCAAGGAAGGTAAACATCGGACAACGACCACCTTCATTCCAAGTCCACCACCAATTCCTTCGCTCGTTCTGATCAACCTTTCCCTCCTCGCCTTTTGCGCTTGCACCTTTCCAACCTCCGAATTCTTCCCCTTCCAACAACAACCGACTCCCGCAAGTACCTTGGTCCCCAGACTTAGCTTCGCGACAGCTCGTCTCGTCCTTGGAATTGTGCGGTCAGCGGGGCTGACCTAGTCCCGCCAACTGTTCCCGTCGAGCTTCCCCTTGCTCCTGTCCCCGACCCGGCTGCACATTGGTCTACAGATCAGAGAGCATCACAGCTGGCCACCCTTTGCTCCCGTCGCCCTTGATCGCCCTCTTCCTGGTAAGCCTTACGCCGTGTCGGTGCTTCTCGTCGCGCATCTTGCCCACTAGACTACCACAACAATACTTTGCGACCCTCGAAGCGAAATCCCACGAGGAGATCCGACCCAATTGGCGCACTGTCGTTGACCAACCCATGCGACCCTCGTCCAGCCGCACCACCACGAGCACCACCACCACCGACTAAACAGAGCCACCTCTCTTCCTTCCCACGCGCGATTCGAGTTACCCGACGTCATGGCCGACCGCGAATATGACGAGCACGAGGGATCCGTGGACCCCGAACTCCTATACACCAAGGAATTTTGTATAGGTTGGTTCACCCACCGAGCGTCCCAACATGTCCGCTCATAAATAGCCCTCGGCGCCATGATGGTTCAAGCGGCGGTTTGCTGACCAGTAGACCGTATTTTCTTGCAGGTGGTGGAAGTTTTGGCAAGGTCTACAAAGGGTACCGTACCTACTGTCCCACGTCTTTTCATGTTCTGGCAGAGTCACGGACTGACATATCTACTTCAAATTCACAGTGTCGACAAACGAAGCGGCCAGGCCGTAGCCATCAAGGTTATCGATATCGAAAGCGCCGAAGACGAAGTAGAAGACATCATCCAGGAGATCGCCATCCTTTCCGAGCTACAGTCGCCCTACGTCACTAAATACTACGGTTCATATGCCAAGGGCGCCGAGCTATGGATTGTCATGGAGTTCTGCTCGGGCGGTAGCTGTGCCGATTTGATGAAGCCGGGCCTGATTGGGGAAGACTATATCGCCATCATCGTCCGCGAACTGCTGCTGGGGCTGGACTACTTGCATCAGGACAAGAAGCTACACCGAGATATCAAAGGTAGGGATGTCACCTAGGGCACGTAGCTGAAAAGTTGCTGACTTGTAGTAGCTGCCAACATTCTCCTTGCTGCCAATGGCCAGGTCAAGCTCGCCGATTTCGGTGTTTCCGGTCAGCTATCGGCGACCATGACCAAGAAGAACACATTTGTCGGCACCCCGTTCTGGATGGCTCCCGAGGTCATTAAGCAAAGCGGCTACGATCACAAGGCTGATATTTGGTCTTTGGGTATCACGGCCCTTGAGCTCGCCAAGGGAGAGCCACCTTACGCCGACATCCATCCCATGAAGGTGCTATTCCTGATTCCCAAGAATCCGCCTCCACGCCTGGAGGGAAACTTCAGCAAGGGGTTCAAGGAGTTCATCGAGCTGTGCTTGCAGCGTGACCCCAAGGAAAGGCCAACGGCAAGAGAACTTCTCAAGCATCCGTTTATCAGACGGGCAAAGAAGACCAGCTATCTGACGGAGCTCATCGAACGATACAACCGGTGGGCAGCTACGCACAAGCAGGATGACGAAGAGTACAATGAGCCGGAGCAAAACCATTATGTTGAGCAACGGAAGCACATCAACGAGGACATGTGGGACTTTGGCACAGTCCGGCTGGTTAGTGACCGCGGCGGTGTGGTCCACAGGCCCGGCATGTTGAACGTCATGGACGAGTCGACACTCAACGCGAGGTCCGGCAGAGCGAACGAGATCGCGGATAACCGGGAAGACTGGAGGAGGGAATCTAACCAAGCTACATCCAAGCTTGCGGTTGACACCAGTGGACAAGGGACCGCGAGGCAAGCATCACCTGCGAGGAAACCTGTAACAACACCAAGCCTAGCGATGCCGCCCCCGACCAGAGTCTCTGTGCCTAGTTCACCTGTTAAGCAGCAGATACAGCAACTAGAGCAACAGTCCCAGAAATCGAGGGAAACCCCGACGCCTCGGACGTCACTAGCCAGACCGGTGTCGCATGTGCCATTAGGCAGTTCTCCGGATTATGATCGTGTGCTTCAGGAACAGTTACGACGGGATATTGGGGGTATGAACCTCGGACCGGCTATACAGAACAGCACACAGCAACAATCAGCACTGTCGCCACCGCAGTATAACCAACAACCTTCGTCATCGTCTTCAAGAACCTCGGCTGGACCTATGAAGCTGTCTGAGATACCCCCATTCAGAGGAGGACAGCAGCCACAGCAACAGCCCCTCCAGAAACTCACGAACCAGCAAATAAATCAGCAAGCACCAAGCACGAACAAACCTTTCCAACAGCAGCAGCAGCAGCAAGCCCCCCTCTACCACCAACCTTCACGTGAATCACTTTACCGGCAACAGCAGCAACAACCACCACCACCGCAGCAACAGCGTCAGCTAAATCATCAAGCTTCGCGCGAGCAAGTGTACCAACAGCATCAGAGACAACAGTCACAACCTTCGATGCTCTATCACCAGCCCTCGCGCGAGTCATTGTATCAACAACAACAACAACAACAACACAACAACAACAACAACAACAAACACCACCAACAACAACAACAACAACAAGCCAACAACAACAACAACAACAACAAACAACAACAACAACAACAACAACACTGGACTGCAACCTCTCTTGACAACAACAACAACAACAACAAAAACAACAACAACAACAACAACAACACTGGACTGCAACCTCTCTTGACAACAACAACAACAACAACAAAGCAGCCAGCAGCAGCAACAGCAGCAACAGCAGCAACAACAGCATCAGCAACTACAGCATCAGCGACGAAATTCACAGCATCAGCAGCAGCCTTCCTCTGGACAGTATCAACCTAACAGGTCAAGCTACCACCAGAGTCAGGGTCTAAGTCCCCTAACATCGAAGGAGTTGCCACGCTCCTCACCATCAGGAAGCCGCATAGTCTCCACCTCATCCAATTACGGCGGACTAAGCACACCGTCCTCGTCATCAACATCACTTGCAGCGTTCCCTTCGCCCGATCCACCCAGTCCCAGCGGCGAGTTAGACGCCCTCAACGACGTGATTTTCCCTGCACTAGAGGAGGCGCTCAAACGTCGCCAGATAATGCTGCAGCAGACGTACCGACCCGAACCAGGATACGCTCCTTCTCCGCCAACGCCCAAGCAGCAGCGCGCTGAAGCGGCTAACGAGAAGATACGCAAGTTGGTGTATAAGCTGGCGCATGTGTGCAAGGAAATTGATCACTATGATAAGGCGGAGCCGGTGGGGATGGGCAAGGATGTGGGAGGGTTCCTGGAGGGACTGTTGGAAGAGATACTGGTGAGGGTTGAGCCGCTTGATGTTTTGGGGCCGGAGGATGGTGGGCGTGGTGGTTAGTTAGAGGACTTGCATATTGGGTTAAAGGGGGACACCGGGGTTGCGCACGGCATGTGTCTCGAACGTGTGGGCATGTTCCTGGAGTGGGAATAGAACTTAATGTACGAACGACGAGCGTGGACGATTCAACGATACTATGATGTGTTATGATTCAGCATGGACATGGACTGGGATTAAAGAAGAACCCGTAAAACCAAGGGTTTGGTTGTTCCAAGCCTTGTTACCTACTGTTTACCTTACGAAATAGCATCTGTTACTATAGGTGTTTTGAATAGAGTACAGTACCTTTACTATATCTGGGAATGAAACAAGGAACATGATTCTCAGCATGCCCTGTCTCAAAGATTAGGGCTCTTTTGCCGGTCCAGCCTGGTCTGGGATATCGGAAAACCCATGACAGACATTGTGATATACAGGGTCCCTTCCCTTAGCACGAAGTCAATCGGGCTGAAGTCTTGTAGTTCTACAATACACTCAACACGTGGATGGGGTTATCCGGTCTCATGTTGGTTTTACATACCTCCCATCTCCATTGTCGTGTACCTACTGTCCTCTTGTCTTAAGGTATTTTTCGGGACCGGATCCAATTTTAGTGCTTTGTATTTTCCAATGATCACATAAAGTCATGAAGTGTTCATATTACCATGTTTGAGTAGCTTGCTCAACTTCACTCAAGTTATCAGCTTGACCAGCTTGGTACACTTTTTGCCTAAGCCAGTTTGGCATTCAGTGACCATCGGATGTTGAACTGTTGCAATATCGTTGGTGCCCTATCATGACAAGATATCCGCATATGAGCTTGTGAATGGCCATCTCTGTGTCCCGACCAAATATCAACCAGCCGCCGCGGTTATCCAGTAGTTCTGAACGTGATACTTGGGCCGGGTTGACAGGTACTCAGTGTGTGAGCATTTTCGATCCACTCATATAATGCCACCGGGGATTTTTTTATTTTTTTTGACGTGTTGGTTACACACATGATTTCGGTTGAAGGGTCGCATCAGCTGCCACAAACGTACTACCCCTTGGTAGGTAGGTAGGTACCCTTACACTGTCACTCGTCCACCGTGAACTTCGCGGATCGATGGTGCCCCTGTGTGATTTGAAGATAATGGAAGTCGGTGCTACAGGTAGAACAGAATGCGGATCCAGTTCCGGTGATGGACATCTGTGGACAAATAAGGCGCGTCTAGCCATGGGTAGGTACCTAGAGGAATACTAAAACTGAGCAAATGGTAAGGTATGATTACCTCTGGTTTTCTCATTCAATATCTAAGATGAGGATTGTATTCCCAGATGTTAACGTTACTCGAACCTCCTCGATCCAACTATTCATTCCCAACCCCATTTTACCAACAAACCAACCATCCATTAACCAAACCACCTCACGTCAGGTCGTATAAAACCGAAACGTGACCTCCCAGTCCACCAAAATAACGTTAACACCACGACACTGCCCAGAGGACTGACTGTTGGCTCCTTTTCACTACGGGATACGAGATTTGTTAGTTACAAGTTCCGGTTTGTTACTTGTCCCTGCCACAATCTCACTTGCTGTCAGCACTGCCTTCCACGATCGTACTTGCCTACGGTATCCTATATCGGCCCACTTATGATATCACGCTGTTTATGGCACACATCCGTACCTCTGCCGTGTTTTGCCGTCTTCCATCTCCTTTATTGCATATTGGGATCAAGCTGATATTTGTGAGAACTAAATGGAGAATAGGGAATACGATACTACACACGAAGAAAGAATCAGTCCCAAGAGACCGGGTTAGATTTTAGTGGCATACGAACTAACCGACCGACTGGACAATCAAGACGGATGATGGAATAATGCCGGCTATATAACTTCCTCGCGACTCCCTTGCTTCCTGGATTCCAAAAGGTTCTCGAGTACTACAAGCACAAGCAACACTTACCTGCCTACTCAATATTTTTCCCCATTTTTGCCAACTTCAACATCAACACCACCAAGCCTTCCATCAAAGTGGAATCCACCAACAGCCCAACCCACCTTCCAAAATGAAGACATCAACCGCCCTCATCAACGTCCTCCCTCTCCTCCTCAGTTCAGCAACCGCCTCCCCCGTCCCTGTTCCAGCACCAGCAGGACCTGTGATCTCCCTCCAACAATCCCCCAACTCCACCCACGTCCTCTCCGCCACCTTCCTCACCGACGACCTGCCAACAGGCTGCACCAACACCTCCCTGCACGATATGCACTGGACCGTGTCCGACTTCCACTACTCTTCTTCCCTCACGTACACCACGCCCTCGCACCGCGTCAACGGCGCCACGGTCAAATTCAACCTCACCAGCAACGCGCTACCGGAGCTGAACGTGTACTGCGTTGCGTATAGCACGGATTACATGGATCCGTTCTATGGGCAGCGGGTGTATGATTGCTCGACTGTGATCAACTCGACAAGTGGCGGAGAGGTGAAGGAAGGGTTCAAGACGCAGTTTCGGTATTGGAAGTCGATTCAGGCGGTGGAGGTGAGGCAGAGGTGGGAGTGTGATGATTTGGCTGAGGGGCCAGGGAATATGCCGGGGAATATGTGAGTTCTTCAACCTATCTCTGCTTCGCTCTTTGTGGAGGTTTTAGCGTGGGATCAGTACTAGAGCGTCAGCTAACACCAATGAATCCGTAGGGCCGTCTTCTCCGCCAACGGCACTTCTGCCAACCAGACGCCCAACTGCACCTTCGAGGAGCACCAGACGCCTCCAGCCGAGTGGAAGAATGGCATGAACTACTACTGGAACATCCAGAATTGCGATCTGCCTGAGTTCTCATTTGTGCCGTCTGAGCTTCAGGTGTTTGCGTAAGGAAAGAACAAGGACGCCGCCGATACGGAGATGATGATAACGGCAACGGCAACGGCGTTAATGACGGAGACGGGACGGATGCGGAAGCGGGAACGGGCAGTTGCAGACTGTCGGGTGCCGACGCATAGCGGATGACAAGTCTGCTCGATGTTACGGATGGTGGGTGATGAACGTTTGGGGGCCAAAATCTGGAGGCATTTGCTGCGAGCTTGATGATAGTAGTAATGGTAATATGGAATTTGACTCAGCCATGGATGTCAGCGTCTGACATGCGGCTTTCGTCCTCGTGCGAAAACCTCGATATGGTATCTGAGAGGACGTTGAATGCAGTGATGGTGTTGGTGTCGTGCCGTGTTCATTTACTTGCGAGCCATAACGCGGTGTTGGGTGATGACAACCTCGTGTGGATGCCAGAACTTCGTCAAGAAGCTATCGTGGGTGCCGACAGAGCATTGCTGACAGCCAATCATAATCATGCCTTGGGAGACCAGCAAAGGCCATGCGAGGAAAGGCGGGGTTGACCGTTGGGCGGAACTGCATGCAATGTGGCAGTGTTTGTAGGTTGCCTTCGTGGCTTCGCCGCAGATCAGATTGATCCATTGCCTTTCGGACCCTTTATCCGACCGTTGTTCCTGCTTTTTGCGCCTTCGTGGTTTCGACCGACTCACTTTTGTAGGAAGAAAGTCATCTCACCCTCGCCGGAAGTCATCCATCACTCCTACTTCCCGCAGGAACAATAGCCACATTTCAGGAAAACATCAGACAACATGACGAACCTCAAGGCAGCCACAGAGCCGTAAGTGACAGCAATTTTGGACAGCAGGGCACCAAGGAATCATCAGGACAAACCAGAATCTTCGGCTAACCTACCTGTGTCAAGGCCCCTTACTACCCGCCTTCCATCGCCCAAAACATCACCGATGGCATCCTCTCCAAAACCTCGCACCTCCAAATCGAGCTTGCCAAGCTCAGGAGGACGCTCGGACACGAAGTCATCGTCGAAGCCGACTGGCAGCGTATCCTGGACGAATATGGCGAACAAGAAGAGCCCTCAAATGGAATCGTCGGACTGGCCGCCCATATCCTGCTTCAATGGAGCAGTGAGTTGCGCGTAATACTTGGTCGCTCCGGAATAGATGACTGGTTGACCAGCCTTCTTGATTGCGTGGTCGAAGCCGGGGGCAAGCTGAGGGTCATGTTGGACCTGTGGGAGGACATTCAACTGGGTACCACTTGGTCCGAAGAAAGAAAAGGGTTCTTTGTGCACTTGCCCAAGCACTACTTATTTGCGAAGAAGGCGTACTTTAGTGGGAATAACTCGGTTCGCGAGGGGTTCAGGAAGGGGCTTCTGTCGTGCAACTTCCAGGCAACGGAAGAAGGAAAGAAGAAGAACTTGAACCCCGAGCCGGAAAAGGGAGCGGGAACGGCCAAGGAGTTGGAGTTGGGGTTGGCGCAGCTTGGTGTCAGGGACGAGAACTCGGTAGGAGAAGGGCCAAGCGCTCCGGCCGCCGCTTGTGATGCAACGACCGCCGCAACGTCGAAGACGACCACAACCGCAACCTCGTCCTCTACCGAGCCAACCCCAACCCCCTTCCCAACGGTCGACTCCCTTCCGTCGCTGGTCGAACTCTGCTCAAAGCCGCCCTACCATCTCACCATCCAGGAACATCCAAGTTGTATCATCATCTTTGGTAGCCACGGCCGCTCGATCAAACTCATTGATCTGTATATCAGCAAATGGACTCCCGATGTTGTCATGAACAGTGCAGATACGCCACCGACTGGTATTCCTCCCGCGGTGGACGGCATACTCCATGACGTCATGAGTGAGCTAACAATCGACAAAAGCATGCATGTAAAGGGGTCAAGGAGGCCGTTGTCAATGACGATGCCGATGGTGTTGGCTATCGTGGAGGGAACGCTGGGCTACAGGGTCGTGTGGCAGGGACGCGGAGAGTATCGGTTGAGGAGAGATGCGCCGTTTGTGTAAGAGTGAGGTGTTGTCGGGTGACTGGGGATGGTCCTGGTGAGCCGTCATCAATCGGGTTTATTGGACATAATGTTGATAAGACTCGTTGAAGGTGACGGTGATGTTGTCGGTGGTGGTAAACAAAGCCCCTGAGACAGGACCCTGGGATCCCGAGAGCCTCATTGCGGATCGCGACTCCGAAGTGGTGGACCCTGCCATGGTCGATCAATGGACATGGAGCTTATTTGCAGCGACGAAGGAGCATGGATAGGTGAGAGGCTCATTTTGTTCGGTTTGTGCGGAAGTTGCGATTATAAGTAAAGTCGACCCCAACCCATGTTGTTGTTTGATGAGTGTCGTGTATACGGTCTGAGTCGTTGAACGCGAGGAAAGGTGCGAGAAGGTGATGTCGGAGATATCGTGGGGTTTGGAGCGATAGCGCCGACGGGATCCGGCCAAGGCGACAGTTCCTTTTCTCACGATAGTTTCAGTGGATACGGCAGGCGAATGAAGAAGGCGTTTATCTCTTGGCACCAACACTAGCAACTGTCAACACAGGCCATCAAGCGCAATGGGGGATTTGAATGGATAGCTTCAGATAACTCAAGCGGTGCCAGTTAGGTTTCACAGGACATGTCCTCCGTGTCCGTTCTGTAGGTAGCCTCTATTGAACCCGGGGCCGCTCCGTGCCGCGGTCGGTATGAGGAGCTGTGCCGGAGTCCACGATGCCGGCGCGACTAACACCGCCCGACAGAGCTGTCAGATGTCTGGACGACAGCGAGATGGAGCGCTAGAACACGCTGACAGCGGGCGCGTGGAAGGTGCAGAAGCCCAGAAGGACAGAGGACGTCAGAGGTGGGGCCGCCTGATCCGTGCACCCACACGGCGACCACACGCCCTGTGACGCTAAACTTGTCCAAGCCAAGCGTGTCGAATTTGTTCTTGGTTTCTCCGAATCTGGTTCCCCACCAAGGCAGGGCAGGCGTATCCCGTCCGCTCTGTGGACGATTGGAGGCCAATGGAGGGGGCCATTGGCGGGAAGCACTGGCAGCAGACATTTTGTGAAGGACCGTGAGGCATTTGCCCTGCCTGCCCTGGGCTGGGCGGCCAAATCTGTCAAATCTGCCAATTCATCCTCCAGACTTCGAACCTCAAACTCCCTTCTTTTCTCCAGTCCGAATCTTTTCCTCCCTCACCCTTCGGCCGCCGCTCCTTCAATCCCTCTCCGCTCTTGTCCTTGGTCATTGGCAACCCAGTCCTCCAAAATGCTTTCCAGAAACTCTATGGTATGTTTGCTTATGTTGCTGTCTTGGCTCCTGTGCTTCTTGCTTGCTGCAAAATCTGCCACCCGACGTCATCCCGCTCCCAAGCACGAGAAAAATCAACAACCTTCGGATGGCGGACATATGTGGTCGCGTACATGACGCCCGCTCGTCAGACTTGCGCCGTGCCGCTACCACCGCTACATGGCATGCCAGAACACATATGCTCACGATACCTACCCTACATACGACTAACATGTGTGTCTCCCATAACAGCGCCTTGCTCGGGCCGTTGCCCAGCCCACCCCCCGCCTCGCCCGCGGCTTCGCCAGCGTCCAGGACACTCCTGCGCAGACCCTCCAGTCCGACATCTTCAAGCCCACCAAGTACGGCGGCAAGTACACCGTCACCCTTATCCCCGGTGACGGTATCGGTGCCGAGGTTGCCGAGTCCGTCAAGACCATCTTCAAGGCCGACAATGTCCCCATTACCTGGGAGCAGATTGAGATCTCCGGTGTCCAGGACAACGCCGGCCGCACCGAGGAGGCTTTCCAGCAGGCTGTTGCCTCTCTGAGGAGGAACAAGCTCGGCCTCAAGGGTATCCTCCACACCCCCATCAGCCGCTCCGGCCACCAGAGCTTCAACGTCGCCATGCGCCAGGAGCTCGACATCTACGCCTCCATCTCCCTCGTCAAGAACATCCCCGGCCTCCAGACCCGCCACAAGGACGTCGATCTCTGCATCATCCGTGAGAACACCGAGGGTGAGTACTCCGGCCTCGAGCACCAGTCCGTCGATGGCGTCGTCGAGTCTCTCAAGATCATCACCCGCGCCAAGTCCGAGCGCATCACCAAGTTCGCCTTCCAGTTCGCCCTTGCCAACCAGCGCAAGAAGGTTACCTGCATCCACAAGGCCAACATCATGAAGCTCGCCGATGGTCTCTTCCGCGGCACCTTCAACCGCCTCGCCAAGGACTTCCCCCAGCTCGAGTGCAACGACATGATCGTCGATAACGCCTCCATGCAGTGCGTCAGCAAGCCCCAGCAGTTCGACGTCATGGTCATGCCCAACCTTTACGGTGGTATTCTCTCCAACATCGCCGCTGCCCTCGTCGGTGGCCCTGGTGTCGTTCCCGGCTGCAACATGGGCCGTGATGTCGCCGTCTTCGAGCCCGGCTGCCGTCACGTCGGTCTCGATATCCAGGGCAAGGACGAGGCCAACCCTACCGCTCTTCTCCTCAGCGGTGCCATGCTCCTCCGCCACCTCGGTCTCGATGACCACGCCAACCGCATCTCCAACGCCGTCTACGACGTTATTGCCGAGGGGTAAGTTCTATTACTGTTTTCTGGTTAAAAAAACACATGCTAACCCCCTCACAGCAAGACCCGCACCCGCGATATGGGCGGCGAGGCCTCCACTCACGAGTTCACCCGCGCCATCCTCAACTCCATGGAGAAGTCTCTCTAAAGATACCCCGCAACGTAGGACAAGCCTTGGCCTGAATAGAAAAAGACCACGCCTTTAATCCGACTGCATCTGCCCTCATTTCCATCTTTCGCCTTTAATTTACACTGTATAACGGCCCAGCCGCCCCCCGGCTGGTTGGAGATACCACGACGGAGGTGATTATTCGTTCATGACCCGGACGAGTAGACTGGGAGAGAAGGGAGCATACACCACCACCTAACAACATCCCTTGTATTGTACGTAGAGTTGGCTATACGAAATCCATTTCATTTGTCTGCTATCTATGGGCGATCCTGGGGCGGGCGACAAATCGTGCAATTTCCGAGCAATCCGAAGCATTTACACAGAATATAGGAGTTTTTTGATCTTATAAAGGGGCTTCCCCATGGCCGTCTAGGTTAACATTGAATTTTGTTCACAGTCTCCATCAAGCTTCTACCGAGCGGTCCGCTTTAGCTCTTCTCTATCTCCATCGCCTGTAGGGAGTTAGGCTTAGTGGTGGTCTCTATCAAGGTTGGGCCGTTGGCAGGTGGAAACATGCTGTCACTTAAACCCCGTCAAATACGCTACCGCTAGTCAGGTCCTTTTTAGCGTTCCCGGTGTCCACCCGCGTCCGGCATGCAGCTAGTGCCAAGAGAAATAGGGCTCCCGGATCCCGTCTCCCGTCTCCCGAAACTGGAAGCAGCCCTGCGGAATCGGACTGGGTCGGACGACGTGTCTAGACTTTGGATGACACATGACAACAGATGGAGGAGTGACGAAAAAAACACCAGGCAACAGCACCACGCGATCGTATCGACGAAACAACGACATGATAAAGTGGACGAAGCTGGGGGCAGGCAAGGAAGCACACCGAGAACGATTCGTATACTTGATCCGCTGTGCCTCGGGATACCATAGATGGATTAATTGGATAAATGGGCAATGCGACTCGTTGGCTGCATCTCCCGTCCTTTTCCCCCGTGATTTGGTCAAGGTTTCTGAAAACCACCAACGTCTTAAACCCATATCCTACAGTCCCAGCCCTCCAGGCCGGAGATTGACTCAAAGGAGACAAGAACTCGACAGGATGGACGTAATGCACGATGAATCGGTATGGGGTTGCATACTGCACAGCATAGCATGGCATGACGCGCGTGCCGCGGCGCAGGTTGCAAGGCGGAGTCGTGCGGGTGTCAACCACTCACGGGAAGGGCACATAGAGCCTTCATGTAAGCACCTAGGCATGCAGGGTCCAGTCTGCAAGTGTAGGGCTGAAGAAGATGGCGTTCCGAAAGTTTGAGACCCTCCCATAGCATTTTCGTTTCACACACAGGTGGTCGAAGGCTACGCCGCTGTTGGCTGCGCGGGGATGGCGTCGTTAATTCACAACATCATGGGTTTCCGTTCTGTTCAGGATACGAAAGATATTCCTAGAAACGTACCGAGATCTTCAAGGAGGATTCGTTGCCTGGTAAGCTCAAGGTACATTGTCACATATGAACTTGACCAGTCGATGACACTCCTTTATAAAACGATCCGCTTTTTCGAAGGAAGAGACCAAAACAGTAAAACTAATTGGTAGGACAAAATGCGGAGAAGCAAGACATGCGGCTTGAAGAAGAAAGCTGTAGCAGATGTGAATCTGACTGCAGGATTGCTTGACAAAAGCTGAGCCTCTTTTGTGAGCCGGCAATCCTATTGCCTACGCCAGACACACACACCCTTTACGCAACTGACACACCGACTCCGACTAACGACAAAACTTGTGGACGCCACCATTCAACCCTCAACCGAGGAATCGGGGATATTCGAAACAAGACACCCGAATGGGTGATGAAGAAGAAAAGAAACATGTTTTCTAACGAGGCTGAAGAGGGGGTAATCGGCTGATACCTATTGTGCCATATTGATTGACGGGTCACTCGTTCGTTTTTCTCGACAAATGATGGCCCGCGGGGGGGCGGTATAGCCGACTAGAACTGTGGAAGATCATGGGTCTTGGTAGGTACGGTAGGCTGGGTTGACTCGGGAAGATGACGACTTACGTCAGTTGTGAAAGGTGTCTGTCTGCCTTGTGTTTGAGGGGTATATATACTTTGGTCTCTTCCGCGTGGAGGGCTGATCTTGAGAGGGGAGAAGGGTTTATATCAACAGTAATCAGCAGTTGTGTCGACACGAGAGACTACCTACCAAGCAAACGGTACACATCACCGAACCAAGAAACACCAAGACTACGAATAGCATCAGTAACCATGAGCACCGACATCAAGGTCGCCATCACCGGTGTTCCCACCACTCCTTCCAGCAATGGTAAGCTTGCCTTCACTTGCCTTCCCTTGTCTTCCCTTCCCCTTCATACATACATCCATCCCACTACCATCATATCCCATACTAACCTAACCCTTGCAACCGAGCAGGAGCCGTCCCCCTCCGCCACGAACTCCGCGACCTCCAGGCCAATCACCCAGATCAATTCAACCTCTACCTCCTCGGCCTCTCCCACTTCCAGGGTCTAGACGAGTCCCAGCTGGCCTCCTACTACCAAGTAGCCGGCATCCACGGCATGCCCTTCAAGCCGTGGGGCGGCGTCCCTTCCGACACCGACTGGTCCAAGCCCGGCAGTTCCGGGTTCGGGGGGTACTGCACGCACTCCTCCATTTTGTTCATCACCTGGCACCGGCCCTACCTGGCTTTGTACGAGCAAGCCCTATATGCATCCGTCCAGGCCGTGGCCCAAAAGTTCCCTGTTGAGGGCGGGTTGAGAACCAGATATGTTGCTGCCGCCAAGGAGTTCAGAGCGCCGTATTTCGACTGGGCTAGTCAACCCCCGCGCGGCACGGCTGCGTTCCCGGAGGCGCTTTCAGCAAAGACGATTCGGGTTGTTGATGTCGACGGGAAGACCAAGAGCATCAATAACCCGCTGAACCGGTTCAACTTCCATCCTGTCAACCCGAGTCCCGGTGACTTCAGCGCCGCCTGGAGCCGGTACCAGACCACGGTGCGGTATCCGAATCGGGTGACGGGGGAGTCAAGGGATGAGCGGATCGCGCCTATCCTGCAAAACGAGCTGGCGAGTTTGCGGAGCAATGTTTCTCTGTTGCTGTTGAGCTACAAGGACTTTGATGCTTTCAGTTACAATAGGTGGGATCCGAACATGAGCCCGGGCGATTTCGGGAGCTTGGAGGATGTGCATAACGAGATTCATGATCGAACGGGGGGCAATGGACACATGTCCAGTTTGGAAGTGTCGTCTTTTGATCCGTTGTTCTGGTTGCATCATATGTGAGTGGTGGTCCTCTTCCTCGTCCTCTTGCAGAGAGTGCCGTTGCTGACATGAAAACCCCTCGACTGCAGCAACGTCGACCGCCTCTGGTCCATCTGGCAAGACCTCAACCCAACCAGCTTCATGACCCCACGTCCTGCCCCTTACTCGACCTTCGTCGCTCAAGAGGGTGAAAGCCAGAGCAAGAATACGCCTCTGGAGCCGTTCTGGGACAGGTCTACTGCCAACTTCTGGACCTCGGAGCAGGTCAAGGACAGCACCACATTTGGCTATGCCTACCCTGAGACGCAGAAGTGGAAGTACTCTTCTGTTGCAGAGTACCAGGCCGCCATCAGGACATCTGTCACGGCGCTGTACGGTAGCAACGTATTTGCTAACTTTGTTGATAATGTCGCTGATCGGACGCCTGCGTTAAAGAAGTCGCTAGCAGCCGGTGAGGAGAGCAAGAGCAAGAGCAAGAACGCTGTTTCGGAGGCTGCTGCTCATGCTGTTGAGGCTTCTGGTGTCAAGAAGATCGCTGCCAAGGTTCATGGTGTGGTCCATCAGGCCGAGGAAAAGGTGCAGAAGCCGGTGGTCAATGTTGAAGAGACCAAGGCCGAGCCAATCACTCCCAAAGGTACAATGTCCCGTTCGAACAGAAATAGGGGCTCCGAGCTGACAGCTTCAACAGGCCCAATCCCGGAGAACCTCAAGTACCTCGCCCCTGATGGCAAGTACACCGATTGGATCGTCAACGTCCGCGCCCAGAAGCACGCTCTCGGCCAATCCTTCCGTATCATCGTCTTCCTCGGCGAGTTCAATCCCGACCCGGAGACTTGGGACCAAGAGTTTAACTGCGTCGGTCGTGTGTCTGTGTTGGGGCGAAGCGCCGAAACGCAGTGTGGCAAGTGCCGCAAGGATAACACCAACGGTCTGGTCGTCTCAGGCACAGTCCCCTTGACGTCCGCCTTGTTGCAGGATATCGTTGGTGGCGAGCTCCAGAGCCTCAAGTCCGAGGATGTCATCCCGCATCTGCGCGCCAACTTGAAGTGGAAGGTGGCCCTCTTCAATGGCGATGAGTACAATATGGAGGAGGTTCCGGACCTCAAGGTTAGTGTCGCTTCGACGGAGGTGACTATCGATGAGGAAGGGTTGCCGCACTACTCTCGTCAGTATACGGTCTATCCTGAGATCACCGAGGGGAAGCCTTGCGGACATGGCCCGGAGGATCACATCTAAACGGGGATCCAGCATTAGAAGGGAAGAAAGGTGCAAGAATGTGTGTTTCCTGTGTGATGGGATCATGAAACCGGGTATCGTTATTTCTGCCGTGTAAAGATGGGCAAAATCCAAGAACAAAAGGAAACAAAATTTTTTCATCGCCGTAGCCACCCACCCAAACGCCTTCCCTATGCAGAAAACAAGTGAACAAGACATAACAGACAAGACCACCAGTACTGTGACGCTCAGAAGGCGATGCGACGCTTGCGACCAGTGTACTTGGAGGTGGCCTTGACAATCTTGCCCTTGCGCTCCATCTGTTCCTTCTTCTTGATGATCCAGCCCTTGCTGCCCTTCGTCATGTCGCCCTTGCCGGCCTTGCCCTTCTTTCTCTGGTCGAGAATATCGACGCCGTCCATGTTTTCGACGACAGCGCTGATGTCCTTGCCGTTGGTGGCATCCTTGCCGACGGTGAGGACGAGGTAGAGCTTGACGTTCTTGGTGTTGGGGTCGTCCTCGAGCAGACCGGCGCCGAAGCCAGCCTTGACAGCGGCAGCGGTAATCATCTGCTTTTGTACGTCGTTCTTGGGGTAGAACTGGCAGACGGCTCTGCCGCCACGTTTTAGCGAGGCGTAGAGGCCGTTGAAAAAGCGCGAAAGTCGGGTGGAGGGGGTGGTGTCGCTGGTTTCGGCGTTGCAGAGCCACTGGATGGCACTGATGCTGATGGCGGCGTCAAAGGAACCGGCGCGGAATGGCACGCCTTGGCCGATGTCTGCGAGGAAGAGATCGCCCTCGACATCGCGCTGTAGGGCCGTGTCCAACATGGAAGGGCTGATGTCCATGCCTACCCAGACGTGGGGGCCGCCCTCATCTTCGGGGACGTCTGAGAGGATCTCGCCGGAGAGACCACTGCCGCAGCCGATGTCGAGAATGAAACCGGGGGACTTGAGGTCGAGGAGCTCGAGGGCACGACGGGTCATGGAGGCCTGAATGTTCTGGATACGAGAGGAGGTGGTGTACTTGCGAGCTTCGGTGTCGTCATAGTGGACATCGGCCGCGCTGGTGTTGTTTGGTTAGTTTTTGGGGAATGAGGAGAGCGGAAGTGCTTGTCGCGAGGTTGTCGTCGAGTGGTGAACCTACAGGGTATCTTCGGGGCGAGACATATTGGGCTAGTTGTATTGAGATGACAGTATTATAGGACAAGACAACTAGCGACAGGATGGAGGGCGGAAGTGGTCTTTATCCAGGAATGCGACAAGGAGAGGTGGAAATACGCCGACAGCTGGGTGGATGGACAGGACAGGATGGTGCTACTGGTCAGCCTGGTCCTTGGTGCTGTTGCTGTTGCTACTGGCGAGCGGTGTGGTGGGACACAAAAAAGTTTCGATGGGCCCTTTCGGATGTGGGGTTGTTCTGGGGTAGTGGTGGGATTGGCGGCAGCTTATCGATAGCCTTATCTTATCGTACCTCAACGGCCGCCAATTCCAGGCCATGATAACATGACATTGCCGGGTCTGGCGAGTGCGGCCCCACTTTAAACGCGGTCTGTTTAATTGAACACGTCAGGGGGTAAGTACCTCTACCTCTACCATACCAAGTATAGGGACCGGGACAGGAGCTCCATACAAGGGGTTCTCTCGTCCGCAGCTGAGCCTTGAGCTTCCACTTTCTCCAGAACAACAAAGAACCAATTGACCTCCACACCACCACCACTCAGTTCCCATATTATGCCCGTCTAATTCCAACCCGACCCAACATATTCTCAAAAATGTGGATTCTGCCTCTTGTTGGCTATCTCGGCTCCATCGTGGGCTTCTGTTTCCTGACCCTGGCTATCGGTACGTGCTGTTGAGGTTCCTAGTTGAAGCTCCTGTGGGCGACCGGCATGCATTCATTAGGTTGCTAACAAGGCGTCCATTGCCTTACAGCCTCGGGTCTCTATTATTTGTCCGAGGTCGTCGAAGAACATACCGTTGTTGCCAAGCGCTTCCTTACTCGACTCATCTACACCATCATCGTCATCCAGCTTCTACTATGCCTCGTCGATAGATTCCCCTTCTTCCTGACACTGCTCAGCGTCGGCTCCCATGTTGTCTACTTGGGTAATATGCGGAGGTTTCCCTACGTCAAATTGACCGATCCGCTGTTCGTTTTGTCATGCGGTAAGTTTGAGCAAACAAGCCCTTTTTAATCCGTGCCTACGCTAACACTGGCTGTTCCCACCAGTCCTCGTTCTTGTCAACCATTACCTGTGGTTCAAACACTTCTCGGGTCACCAAGAGCGCGCCTACCAGAAAATGACCTCGTACTACGACATGCCATCCAACGTTCCCACCTTCACCGAGATCGCATCCTACTTCGGCATCTGCGTATGGCTGGTTCCCTTCGCCCTCTTTGTCAGCTTGTCTGCAAGTGACAATGTCCTGCCCTCAATGGGCAACGAGGCTTCTTCGAGTGCTGGAGCTGGTGGTGTCGGTGGTGATGGTACAAGGGCAAGACGAGGACGGGGCCTGATCGGGTCCGTTGTGGACAACATCCTAGGAGCTGTGGGGGGAGTCACGTCCACGGTGGGCTGGAAGAAGTCCGACGATCGGCTGTAGGAGACCTAAGGCACTAATAGTAAAGAGGAGGGCGAATCATAATTAATTGCATGTAAGTTACGTTGTTGGGAAATCATCAATAGCGAACGGAGCGCTAATTATACACCTAGATTGATATCCATCCTTCTTTGTCCCGACCATGTGTTCCTCAAGCGCCCGATACCTTCCGGCTCTGCACCTTTGCCATGCCACTCACGCCAACCCATTCCCAACTCGGGTATCACATTCTGTCCCGACGAAAAACGAAGCCGCCCTTTCAAACTTACCGCCCAATATCTTACTCCTCAAGTTATTAGTACAAGCTTGTCGATAAAAGTGCTCTACTCGAAACGGAGATCCACTGTCAACTCCTCCCACGCCTGTTCGCTTCTTCGGTCTGGTTCGCTTCGCCACTCAGCCGCCTCATGCCTTCTGAGTTCTCGACTTTCGGCCCTTCGCAGATCCTTTAGGATATCTTGGACGGCATCAAGATTTCGAGCCGTTAGACAATGGCACACGACTCCGCTTATCGCATGGTTGCACCCCAGGTCCTCGTCATCCGAGTGTACGTCGGTCGCGCCCGTCAGATCCAAGGCAGGAACCATAAAGAAGTTCGTGTACGGCTGAAATGCCGCTAGTTCAGCCATGCTGCCAAAGTCTCGCTCCGATATTGTCGAAGGGAAGCTGACATCCATGGTCAGTTCGCTATGCTGCGATACGATGTCGTTAATATGGAAATCGCCGCCAGTCGAGACGCTGATTGTTGTGATGTCGGAAACACGCTCCCGTCTCGATCCGCTATGGTCGCTGTCCGAGTCGGAATCCGAGCTCGATTCGCCTGCCCACACGGCCCTGAGTGAACCAGACAGCTCCATGCTAAGCGTGTCGGCAGTGCTGGTCTCGTCTTCAGTACCGTCGTAAACGATGATGACTGACGCGGAATCGTGGTATTCCTCATCCTCTCCTTCGTCATCTCCCTCGTCATCATAATCGATGTAGGGAGGGTAGACAACGGTCAAGGTGTCATGGTCAAGATACCAGTCGCCGGAAGCGACATGAAGGGTGTCATTATGGTGGAAGGTGTAGGCCATGTTTTAAGCTGTTGGATGCCTTTGCCAATGCCCAGAAGTACGGGGGTTGTCGAGCTTGCTCCAGTGCAGTGTTGGATTTCTGGCGGATTTGAAGCAAAGGAAGAGATCATCAAGGTCAACATTCCGGTGAAACGGACTTTAAGAGGGAGAGCAACAGAAGCTAAGGGTTTCGCCCTAATCGCCCTACCGGCAGACGATCCCGCCTTTGCTTCATCGCCGGGCATCAAGGCCCGCTGTTCCCCGTCCTATCCTTCGGGATACCTTTTCCTCACGGAACGCCCAGGGCAAGCTTGGGCTTTTTGACATCCCACCCTCATGGCAAACTGCATGAGTGGCGTTGTGTGGCAGACCGCTGGTAACCATAGAGGGCCAATCGCACCGCTCTGCTAACGAGAAATCTGTCGTACCGTCTTGAGCACGCAATCGTGGGAAGACGGAATTGGGGGAGGGCGTCGCCCATTGGAGAGTGATGGGCGCTGGTGATGGGTTCGGGTCTTTTCCGACACGTTAGAATCGGTATCTCGCAGCTGTTTTCATGTCGGTGCCAGATTTATAGTGGTCGGGGAAGGTTTTGGCAGCAGAGGACGACTACAGAAATCAGGGGAACCAGGGAATCACAAATATATGGCCATCACTTGCCCTCTAGCACGGAAATCGAAACCCTCTGCGCTCTGCCTTTCCAACACTATCGGATCAACGGCGAATAGACGCAGGAAACACCATTAGAGGCACATACCCATACCTCCAAACTCGATGTCCCATTATCAACCAATCGAGCGATCGACGTTCAAAGAACGCCATGTACCAACTCATAACGCACATCCCAGCGGATATCATAATTTCCTTCAAGCAAATAAACGACCGATAGGCTCTGTCATATGCAAAACTGGCATTGACCGCTTCACACCGCATGGGTCCCATGATCAATACTGCAGTTCCAGTCAAAGAATGCCCGTTTTCCTCCTGCATCTATCCGTCCGCGCAACTCCGCGCAACTCCGCGTAACAAGGTTGTGCGATGCAAACTCCTGGAGTAGCAATCGTAGAGAAGCTCAGTAGCTGTCTCCCATCTGCTTGGAGCTTTCCCCTCACCCATCCGCCTATGTCTGTCCTTACTATCGGATATCCTGCAGTAGTTACAGGTCTCTTCTCACCATCACTTGCCCTCTTACTCTGTGGAAGGAAGTCTTCTGGAAGCCATGTTCTCCTTTGATTCTCTTCTTACTCACCGCCGGTTCTGTACATGAACAAAAACATGGCACGGCACTAGCACTTGCATCCCGTCTTTTTCATGGTTCCTGTGATGGTCCTACAACATCACCTATGCCGAATTGTCGATTAGCCTTTGACCATCAAGCCACAGTCAGTATCCCGCTCTCCACATTCCACCAGATTCTCTGCCGTCTGTATCTCCCCACACTCTATCTCTGCTGGGTAGATACAGAATCAAGAGCAGCAAGTCTCCTTTGGTCTTCCTTCCTCTTCCACTTTTACCTCCCACTGGATTCCACTTTCGAAGGATTCTGTCATGAAACACTCTCCACGGGATACCAGAATGGTAGAACACCAGGAAACCAGGCCCAGAACACCAGGACATCACTATGTAACGGGAGATCACGCAGGATACCGGCGGGTGTGTTTGTGTGTACACGTACCTCTTTGTGAATCTCTGTGCTGACGGACTTAAAGGACCACACATGTGCTGTGGCAATGTGTGGGTGTTTTTTGTTTCTTTCTTTGCTTGCTCGGAGGTCCTTCAGTTGCCTCCAACGGTTTCTGTCGGTACTAGTTCTGGTGCACTGTTAGTGTCTTTCTTCGTCTATCTGGATACTAATGTGGTGGAGGATAAGTCTCTACCTGTTGATGAATATCTGCTGTGGGCATTTTTATTCGCGGCTACTCTTTGTTGCCTTCTTATCTCGTTCTCTCTTCTTCGGTTGTTGGTCTTCTACTTCCCTTCTGGCCCCTTCCTCGGTATCTGTCATCCAAGTCTCTGCTTACCCTGCACTTTTCCCACGGCAAAGCGCTTTCGCCCTCTCGGGCTCTAGCAACCAAGTCGCTTTTCATTTCCAGGAGCTGGGGAGTCAATTCTCGCTATTTCTCTGGCCATTTCCCTTTACAAACAATCGCCATAATAGCACCGTACATCTCAAAGTGTATTCATACACGCTCTCTTCCCTTTCGCCGTCACAGAACCGTAGTAGCCAACCTCCCACTATGTTCAAGCCACTCCAATATGTGAACGACAAAACGACATTGCTTCTGTGGGCCACTATAGCAGCTCCCCTCGCCGTGGCTGACGGACGATCTCACGGTCTGCTGTTGCTGGGTCCAAAATAGCAAAGCCAAGTCGGCCTCTCCCATCCACCACACCATATTGGATCATGGGCTCCGTGTCTCTGGTATCACCCGTTCCCTTGATATCTCCCCTGCGAATATGTTTGGCCAATTGTCCAGCCGAAGCATTACTACTACACCCGTTAAAAATATCAGTCATCAGTTGCTGCTGCCCTACCCGCCGTCCATCCTTTTCCGCACTAACCCTTGTTTCACTCCCCTCCGACCCCGAGCCATACTCTCCATAGCCACCCTTCTTCTTCTCATTCCTGTCCCCTCCGACCCTCCTCTCACAACTTGCTACAAAAGCCCCAACAACCTCTAACGGGCTCAAACTAAACTCCCTCCCCAACCTCCACCACCCCCAAAACAGCCCCAACGTAGCCACCGGCCCCAACAAACTAACCACAACCCCGACCCCCAGCTTGCTCCGATCAGCAGCGTACTGCGCCGCCTGTCTGGCGCTCGTATACGTCACGTTTCTTTGCATAACCGCTGTTTTCGTCCCGTTCTTGACTTCAGGGAGAGAGTTGTGTTCTGCCGCAGCGCGGATGGACATCCGGAATGCGATTTCACGGAAGGAGTTGATGATGTCGTCCATGGGGTCCGAGAAGGACGAGGTGCAGCCTGAGTAACCGCCGAGCATACCTGTGAGGTCTTTTTCTTCTTCGGGGTCTTTGGAGGAGTCTTTCTTGTAAAGAACGGGCATGATACCCATGTTTTGAGGAAAGAGAAGTAACCCGTCGTAGATGACGGTTGTTGAACTCTCAAAAAGGAGTTGGCCGAGGGAGTGTAGGGGAAGAAGGGTGGAGTGGCTTGGCATTGCTAGAGGCCAGAAACTTAAAGCCAAAAGGTTAGTAACGATGTCAGAAAACCTGAAAGTGTCGAGCAAGGCGATGGAGAAGAAAAGAATTCAACGACGACTAAACGAAAGGGAAGGGAAGTGGAAAGAACTTACAATCTATCAACAAGCTCATCATCCCTCCAACTGGTACCCGACTGAAAACTCACATTCCCTCTATCCAAGAAAATGTTGTACTTCATCGAAACTGGAGTGAGCAGACACTTATGGCTAATGGTTTTGCCCACAAAGCGGCACGAGGAGGAATTTTTGTGCGTGACTTGGACGGATATTCCATTCTGAAAGTCCTCGGGTTCAGGACCATACTGGAATGCATCAAAGGAAATGTAGGTCTTGAAGATGATCGCGGTTACGTTTTTGTTCAGAACGGTTGTCCCGTTCTTGTTGTATTGAAGGGTTAGGTTGTAGGGGATGTAGGATGTAGAACAGTTGACTACGTTGAAGCCGAAGGCCTGAGCAGTATTGCGGGTAGTTGGTTAGCTCGGAACAAAGTATTTGTAGGGTGTTCTCAGTCCATATGAAATCATAATCCTGAAGGCGATCACTTACCGGGACACTTATCGAACAATTATCGCACTCCGCCACATCAGGAATCCGCATAGGCGTTTTGGCCTGATACTCGCGAGCGACGCTGGCAAAGCCAGCGCTGAAGTCAACGCCGCCGTATCCGCTCAGAGAAGTGTCGGTCACGTAACCGGCCCAGTCACTGCTTACGTTGGGCATGATCGCTAGGTCAATCTTGCCCGTGTCCAGCACGCTCACTGTCTGGACAGAGGACGCTCGCTGCATCAGAGGCCCGCGGAGTAAGGAGGTAATGGCCACGAGGAGGCAAACTGCGTGTATGAAAGTATTATCAGCAATAGTCGGGATGCTTGATAAAGCTCGAGGATCGGTACATATGTGACGATAGGGTGGTCAACCCAGGGTAGGCAGTAAACCAAGTGCAAAATGAGGGTAGACAACAAAACAATGAAACTCCATATACGAACCCAAACTAACCCGCACAGCCCTCTTCCCACTCAATGCCTTCACCGCGCCCACAACGCCCGTGCTGCCAGCCCAGTAGTAGTGCAGATTCGTGATCGGCATACCCTCGTTCTTCACGGCTCTCGACCAAAAACATATCACCGAGGCTTCGGCAAACGCGACCCCCAAGAACGTGTTGGCAAACGTCGAGGTGTAAGCGAGAAGCACACCGGGCTGCATCTTGCCGGACCATTGACCGTCGACTGGTTGGCCGTCGCTTGAGAGCACGATGTAAATGGCCGCGCCGGTACCTTTTGGTGGTGTTAGCTGCTCTTTGCCGTTGCAGTTATGTGAAAAAGTCTTGGCCGTTGACTTACAAGCTACGCTCAAAACCAAAGGGAGAAGAGCCGAATACGGAAACCTCCTCAACCCTCCTGACATCCAGGGGTATTTCTTGGATTCATCATCATCATCGGCTGCCTGGATCTTCTCCTGCTCATTATCTTTGCTTGACAACTGTTGTTGTTGTTGTTGTGGATGATTTTGCAGCGGAGTAGGCTCATCGAGTGAAGACTGCGGCTCCTCCGTATACCCTGGCTCATATGCGAATGATGGGTGATAGCGGAAAGAGTTCTCGCCTTCGCTTTCCGAGGAGGGTGACTCATAAACCTGATAGTCATCGATGCTCAGTTGCTGTAGATGATGTTGAGAAAGGAGTTCTTCTCTTGAAGAAGCCATAATCAGTTGTCGTGATTGGAGGTAGACGGTAGACAATATGAGAGCAAGAGAGATCGTAAAGTGGGATGAATGCCCGAAATTTAAGCAATTCTAAATTCCTGGGCCACGGCGCGAAGAAGGCTGAAGGATAACGTCTAACTGGATCAAGTCGACCACAGGCAGCAGCATGTTATCTATAAGTGTGTTCATCCCTTCTTAATGTTGAGCGTAAAGCCGCCCAAAGGCAGGTCAATTAAACGCAGGGCTGCATGGCATACTCGCATTGCCACGTCGTGATGCCCGTTGGAGGCGGTGCCGGAAATTGACCATAACATGGCTGACATATGGTAGCCCTTATCATCAAAGGGATTGGGGGCTACATCCTGGGAATAAAAAAATTTAAGGCATAGTGTGTCCGAAAGAGGCACCAGAACACACAGGCAGGAACCATTGTAACGATCTTTCTGGAACTCAACAGGAGGTCGCGTAATGGTGTGACTCGTTGTGGCAAATGAGGAAGCGGATGCATATAGTATCTAAGGTGTTGATCCGTGTCGCTATCCAATGAAAGGCCATGGCTGGGGGGGCTTATTCCAGGTTATAGTGATGCTGTGAGTTGTGGAACCGGGCACACCCCTTCTCTTGACTACGCCCAATTCCTGGCCTCGTCAATCCTGTAGAGATTTTGACCAAGGCTGAGAAAGACAAATCACTTGGGCTGGAAAGCAAACGGCTCAGGAGAGATGTTAGCTATTCGTAGCTATCGTAGGCAAAGAACAAGAGCATATCGGTCGAAGGCAATCATAAACCATCAGTGTCCACAATTACAGCTCTCAAATTCCACGGCGCGACGTCTTCACGTCATCAAATCCGAACAGGAACAGAGTCCCTCCGAGCGAGCAAATGGCCCTCGGCAACCAGCGAGTTATGGCACGGCACTCTCCTGATGAAATCCTCTAAATTTTGCAGCGTCGTCCCCGCAATCTCCGTCAACGCCTCCTCCGTGAAGAAAGCCTGATGTCCGCAAATGATCACATTGTGGAACGTAGTCAACCGCATGAGCTCATCGTCCTGAATAATATGACCACTGTGATCCTGGTAAAACAGGGCGCTTTCTCCCTCGTAGACATCAAGCGCGAGCCCACCCAGTTGATGACTCTTGAGGGCGTCAATGACTGCCTTCGTGTTGATCAACCCACCACGCGACGTGTTGATGAGCATGGCGTTCTTCTTCATCTTGGCGAGTGTCTTTTCATTGATGATATGCTTCGTCTGGTCTGTCAACGGACAGTGGAGAGAGACAAAGTCGCATTGCGGCAGCAGCTCATCAAGACTGGCGTACTCGCCGTACGACTTGAAGGCGTCAGTGGGATATGGGTCGTAGGCGATCAGCTTGCAGCCGAAGCCCTGGAGGATACGAGCAAGGCTGACGCCGATCTTGCCGGTGCCAATAATACCGACTGTCTTGCCATGGAGGGTGCGGCCGAGCAGACCGTCGAGGTTGAAGTTGCCCTCGCGCACGCGGTTGAAGGCTCGGTGCGTCTTGCGGTTGAGCGTCTGGATCAGGGCAATGGCAAATTCGGCGACGGCTTCGGGCGAGTACGAGGGGACGTTGGCGACGAAGAAGCCTAGACGTTCGGCTTCCTCGAGATCGACATTGTTGTAGCCGGCGCAGCGGAGGAGGATGGCTCGGACGCCTTCTTGGCGGAGGGCCTTCAGGACAGGCGCATTAAGCGTGTCGTTGACGAAGACGCAGACGGCAGTGGCACCAACGGCGAGAGGAACGGTTTCGACAGAGAGAGGGAAGTCGTGGAAAACGAGCTCAGTGCGAGGAATCTGTGAGTGCTGTGCATGCGAGTTGTCCGTGTTTGCGTGGCTGTACCGAGCAGCGTGTACTTGGGACAGATATTCCCTATCGTACGGTTTCGCGCTGAAAACGGCCACTTTCATGGTGGTAGCCCCGCTGTGAGTGTCGACGTAGGGGTTGGGGAAATGCTAGGATAGTGGGGCAGGCTAGCGGCTGATAGTGCGCTTTAGGGGCAACTCTATTTTGAGGTCAAAGGATGAAGTGTAGAGGTAGGGCTGTGATGATGGTGAACCAGAGATGAACCGCGAATGAGGAATGTGCAAGCAAATGTTGGTATACAAAATGATGACAGAAGAGAAATCGTGTCTACAAAGGAGTAAGCAGATGTTTCCAAGATCTTGAACAAAGCGATATTACAACGCAGTTTCTAAATCGAGAGTCGGGAACTTGGCTCCTCCATCCTCCTTCCCGTGATGCATCAGATCTGTTAGCAGTTGCCCCTGCCCATCCTCTGAACCACTAACATTTATTTTCCAGGAGCTCCAGGCCCAGGTGCCAAGCAGCACTTGGCTTACGAAGTGTCGCGGGGTTTGTCTGCTTGTGACTGCCATCGCCAAGAATCCGCTGAAGAAACAGCGATCCATGCTCCTGTAGGGAATCACAAGGGGAAGAACACTCGGAGCAAACACGCCGTTTTTTGCCCTTGAAACGAAGCCACGAAACCGATTGGGAAATGATCGAAACCAAACGTTTTGTTTCCATCTAATTCGGACAGTCCCAAGCATTGACTGTGCTGTGCCTCATGGGGTGATCTGCACTAAATTTAGGGAGTGGGAGCTAGCTCAGGGCAGAGCGGTGCATCCCGTTGCCGACCCGTGCGGCCCGCTTGGTGACCGACGTTTCGGGGGCGAAGAGACGACTTCATTACCGTGCCGCGATAATAATATTGGGTAGTGAAAAACAATTTGGCGATGCAACTGCCTACACCGTATGACATGGAATCAAGTACCATGGATCGTTTCCGACGTGCAGTTGTAGCAATATGAGGGAGTGTCCCTCGAGTGCAAAATGTTGCCAAGCAAGTGGATCCGATCTCAGGGGTAAAGTAAATAAATCATTGATGGAATTGACGGGCTAGAAGTTGTGAGAACATGGGCCTGCCCATGTTACGGCATTGAGAAATCGAAAAACGCCTTTTCCTTGTCCATAATTTCTATCTATACAATATGTATGTCATTTCATCTATCCCTAACACCTAGAACGATACGTGAACGCAATACTCCTCCGTCACGGCCGGCGCCGGTTTCTTGGTAGTAACCTTTGAGTGACTTGGGGATATGCTGGTGGATGTTGAAGCAAACGTCGGGCTTGTCGGTATCTATGCCGGACTCAGAACCCCTGCGCTCGAGCTGGGGGAAGTCCTTGGCGAGGCGGTTGAAGGTGCCGTGGAAGAGTCCATCGGCGAGCTTCATGATGTTGGCCTTGTGGATGCAGGTGACCTTCTCCTCCACTCGCGGTGCCCCTTGTTGCCCCCTCAGTGCCTGTTGTTTGAGCAGTCCTCGCACATGTCGCCGGTGTACTGGACACTCTGGCCGCACATGCAGACCTTGCAGGCGCATATGTGTTGCCCGCCCTCCGAGGGGGACTGGCAGTGGTAGTCGGAGAAGTCGCTCCCCCTACGGCTCTGGGAGCCAGAAAACCCGTCGGAGAACCCATAGTAGGGGTCAAATGGTGCGACCGGGGCCGGGGTACTGGTCGTGGTGTGGCCCTTGGCCTTGTTGTTTGACTTGAAGAAAGGCATTTTTGGCAAAGGCAGCTGATCGCGTCTTTGATGGGTTTTGTCTTGCTGGTTATGGGCTTGGGAATGTCTTCGAGGTGTGGTCTTGTTCTCGGTATGCCTTTTTGAGGTCTTGGAAGGCTTGAAGAAGGATTAGAAGACTACGTCTCACCGCAAAGATTAGCGCGATACCGTATAGAAGGGAGCAAGATCAGTTCACCTACCTGCTGTGAACTGATGGTTGGATAATTAACTGTCACGATGAATATATCAGCGATGAGTGAAAAGGAAGAAGTTCGAAGGTTCAGTCTGGAAGCAGGGTCCTTATCAGAGATCAAAGGTCAGCTCTTCCTCAGAATCACCTCAACTCTCCAACTGCAAGGCTGTCACGCTGTTACAGATGCAGAAAGTAGCGTGGTATACGGTTTCAGACATTAATCACCTGGCAGAAGGTAAAATTAAAGTTTAGGTCAGGCGTCGAAAGGTCTCCACTATCTCCCTACTGTGGTATCAGAAAGTGTCTATAAGGCTGAATTGCAAAGTCCTAGTCTTGTTGAAAGTTGGGGCTTCGACTGGAGCCAACACAGTAGAAGGCGTTCCAGACGAGGCAGAAAGCGGTGAATGCAGAGTTCCCAAGTCGAGCCGGAGACCGGTCGCGGTTGCCTTATCGTCGCTCGCATGTCAAGGATGTGTTACAATCCAATAAGGGATCAC